TAGATAAAAAAAAAATTAAAGGCGAAAGATCACTGCCCAGTTTTTAATCTGTATCTCGGTAGAGTAACTTTTTTTTCATCGAGTATTTTTGTCGTGTGAGGTTGTCTAGGAGTAAATTTTTGACTAAGGTAGTCTGGTGCTCGACCATTTAGGCCATTATGGAATAACAGAAACATTTAAAAGTAGTTGTTTATCAGCAATAGGAAGCCATCTAAGTGACTTCAATCCCTCAGAGATGTGATCATACTTCCGGAGATTAAGAACTATCCTACCTGCAAAGTTGGAACTTATTGCAATTTTTTACGTTTGTTTGACAGGTTTTGCTCCATACGGTGGAATAATAAAACAGTTTACTGAAAACAAAAGCATTAATTAGTAATAGTAGCGTCTTTCTATCAAGAAGGTGCTTGATTCTATTGATCCTAATTGATCTATGCATGCAATCTGGAACTGTTTTGGTTACATGTTCATTATAACTTAGAGAGGAGTCAATTATTACACCCAGATCCTTGGCCACAGGAACAGGTTTAATATCTTTGCCCAGTAATTCAGCCTTCGGAAAAGATGGTAGGCTACTCGTAATCTGCGGAACTCCGATAACCGGAAGCTTAGTCTTATCAGGGTTGATGATTAGGGAGTTTGTACATCACCATCCTCAGAAGATCTTCATTTAATGCAATAACTGCGTCTGAAATTTGATTTGGGGGAAGGCTGAGGAAAATTTTTGTATCGTCCACATAACCCATTGTGTGGCAGTGAGTAGGGACCGATAAGAGATCATTTACATTCAGTGAAAATAGAACTGGTCAAGAATTGAGCCTTGTGGTACGCCTACAGTCACGGGGAGGGGGTCAGAGACGGAATTGGCCATGTTAGCAACTTGGCTTCGTTGTGAAAGGTAGCTTCCAAACCAGTCGCAAGCAGCATTGGACACACCTATACTCTGAAGTTTTGACAGCATCAGATCGTGACGTATACTATCGAACGCCTTAGACATTTGTAAAAGGTCGATCACGGATACGAGTTTGTCGTCCATGTTCTTAAGGATGTCATCTGTGAAATAAAGTAAGGCAGTTTCAGTCGAGTGGAGTCTCCTATTACCACTTTGCAGTTTTGAAATTTTTTCATTGTGGTCTAGAAAATGAACAAACTGTGAATGTGCTGCCCTTTAGGGATGACTTCAGCCTATTTCCATTCTTGCGCAAATCTGTTTGAAGAGAACGAGGTATTAATAAGGTTCGTTGTTTCAGAAATTGTTATTGGTAAGCTATCTTTCAATACTGGCCTAGCTGTGACTTTATCCGGGCCGGGAGCTTTATTCGACTGCCCCGGGGGGAGGGATCTTATGATCTTCCCGACTTCTTTTTCCGTCACTGGTTGAAATTACAGAGAACCCTGGGAACGAGGTTCGCTATTCACTTGGTATATCGTGCCCCGGCCGATAAATTTACCAAAGCGGAAATAACATAATAATCTTTAAACTGCCGTCTGGGTTGTGCTTCATGTTATGATTTTTGCAATAACTTTTTCTTTTCAGATTGCAAGTGCGGAGTATGCAAATTTACCAAAAGCTGATTTTGCACTTACAAATTGAGCAAGATTTTATATATCCTGTTGGCAGGACGGCGAGCAAATCTTTTTACAACTACAATAGCTCTAAACAAATAACCTATCGTAACTTGCAGAAAGAAACGAAGTTCGCACGCAACTCAAAAACTTAGGTACCCGGTTTAAAGCAAGAATTTTCTCCGACAGAATTTATTGGAGGACCAATTCGAGGACCTACCTCCGTCCGCCGCGCAATTTATTGACACACATTTCCTCGTGACCAGTCGCGTTCTTTCTCGAAGCAAGAGAGAGAACCCTGGGAACGAGGTTGCATGCAAAGCGCCATTTCTGATATAGTCAGGTCTCTTTAAACAGCTTATTCTAAGAGGGTTGGGTTGATATGCCTTGAGGACTTTGTTTGAAGTAAACTTCCGGGAGTATCTTTCTATTGATCTTTTACTTGCGTGCAAGGACAAACTAAAATCAAATTGATCGTCGGAATTTAAGGACTGACGCTCGTTGCCCGACCGCTCTCGGTCAACCGATTGTCATTTCGCCCTTTATAGAACCTTTTCAAAAGCTTGAAAACAAGACTGACGTGAGAATAGAATTACAGGAAAAACCCCATGTACCCTTGACCTTTCATGACAATAAGGAAACGAATGCACGTTTGACTTAAGCATAGAGCGGGCCTAAAAGGGTAGACATATTCTAGTGTACTTAGCGGGTTTGTAGGGCTCTCTTCATTGCCTCCATAGTTGCCTCTTTTGCTCACAGTTGCAGAGCTAGAAGTGAACACTTATACGGGAACTATCAGCCAACTGTAAGAACTCCTATAGTTGACTCTGATACGACCGGCTATGCAAATTTGTGCAAGGTAATGAAAACTACCTTGATCTAATTATTTCGTTTCTTCAGATTAGCCGTTTCATGTTGGTTCCTTACATGTGCACGAATTGAAATTAGCCATATTAGTAGACCTTGCTTCCAACTAGCCGACTTGAAGTGTTGTGTGACGGTTTCGTGTACGTGCTTCCTTAGCTTTGACGACCCAGCAGGAAACTAACATCTCCATATTGGAACGCAGAACGAAGCCGTCAGCCAATAGAGTTTCAGCCATAAAGCATGGGTAAGNCAAGGTAATGAAAACTACCTTGATCTAATTATTTCGTTTCTTCAGATTAGCCGTTTCATGTTGGTTCCTTACATGTGCACGAATTGAAATTAGCCATATTAGTAGACCTTGCTTCCAACTAGCCGACTTGAAGTGTTGTGTGACGGTTTCGTGTACGTGCTTCCTTAGCTTTGACGACCCAGCAGGAAACTAACATCTCCATATTGGAACGCAGAACGAAGCCGTCAGCCAATAGAGTTTCAGCCATAAAGCATGGGTAAGTAGCGTAAGTAGTTGAATGTTCCTTTAATTTGGTGATATTTCTTTTTTGATATCATGTAGTACATCGCTTTCATGTCATCGCACCGATTTTCATTTTTAATTTCCGGGTGTAAGCCAGTACCCTTGAAAACGGAATGTGTCAGGCTGTCACTTGAGAATTTATTTAGCATTGCAATTTTGTGTCCAAATTTACTCTAACTGGGACAACTCAAGCCTCCAGTATTTCTCTGAAGGGGACCGGCACTCTAGATACAGCATAATAGCCAACTACTCGATGCAAAATGCAGTTAGTATTATTTACATGCCTCTACGTTTGCCTCTTCGCAAATGGGTTGAGTTTAGATTCGGTCGGTTCTGACTAAAACGATTATATTTACAGTTCAGTTTTCATGGAGGTAAATGCTGCAAACTCCTTCTGGTGATTTTGATTGGTTGTGCTGCACTTGGACTTCCTGTCTAAAAAAGTGTTTAACAAAATGCAGCTATTAAGGCTTTTTGCTAAAGATTTCAGTGCCCTATCCTTATAGTTTATGTCCTTAGTTCCTTTATCAGATTTTCAGTAATTCATTTGGTCTGCTTAATCTTCGTATAAATGGCATTTCGGCCAAATTTACTCAAAATAAATTCGCGTCTGAGTGTTTAAACCCCCTAAATGACGGCATAACAAAACTACTTCACACCATCAGCTATGCTTGAAAGCACTTGCGAGAATGTTTTCGCGTGCTCAAATATTTTAAGATAGATTAATCAGTGACCCTTAATATAACTTAACAGTTTATTTATCGATATTTAAGTACACTCTTTGAACCTCAGTTGTATAGAATTCAGGTCATCTTAACTAGTCGTATCCTCCTTTGATATTTACAATTATCCACTAGAGTACATGAAGTGAATAATTTTTGACTACCATTAACACTGGGATATAAATATATTTACTACATAGCTTAGGAACTTGGCCAATATCCAGACACCTTGACCTCGGGCTTGTCAATAACATATATTACTTTAGAATTCTAATGTTAAGAGTGATTTTACTTGACCCCTAAAATTATACTAACAACTACTGCAAAATAGCTACTTGAACAAAAGAAGACAATCTTGGAATTAGTGGATAATAGTTCGTAGTATTATATACCTATTTCACGGATTAAGTAAAATCACTCTAGGCCTTCCACATACTGAAATGTGCTTTGTTAATTATTAGAACTATAATAAATATCACCTCTCTGGTGGCATTGACCAAGATTGTTTGGCCAAGATTTGACCAAGACTGTTTAGCCGAAAACTTACCAGTGTTTAATATACGTGTACAGCAAAACCCCACGTCTAAGAAACTAGATTTTCAAGTTCCAAGTTAGCCTTAACAGTCAGGTTCTTATATGGTTTTATACACTGTTAGTTAGCGCAAGTTTAGGCTATTTAGATTCTTATTAAAATAACTTGTTACTATTTTCTGAAGTAAAAATACATTATAGCTAAGACTATTTACTTGTTTAGCTTATTCCTTATCCATAAAATCTGCATACCAAATTAGAAATTATATTCGTATTTGTATTTGTAATTTGTAATTATATTTAATTTAAACACTGGCATTTACATACAGTTGGAGTGATAACTGCACCTCTGTCTGTCTCCAAAAAGGATTTTGAATGTTGACTTATCTTATTTGGCTTAAATTAGTGTACAGAACCTTTTCATAGTTTTAAAAACAAAAGAACCTGTTTCAAATTTTAGGCTAAACAGGTTCTTACATAGAGGGGCCTTAACTGGCAAACTTTAGTCCGACAGGTTCTTAAAATTAGTGTTCTTAGTCTTGGGGGTTTCCTGACTTTACTGTATTACCAAAAACAAAATAATTTTTTTATCAATTAGCTTTAGAGGATTTGTTGAGAGTGAGAGTTATTGTTTTAATGAGGTGGGTGGTATACAGGAACATTATTTTGACAATTAATAGATTGAAATACTCAAAAAGGCGCGCTTAGGTGAGAGCTAATAGTTCGGTTTCGTTTCATTTTCAGCCAATTCACCCCTACTAGGCTTGAGTCCGAATCATAAGATGAGTGAGTCTGACATACACAATTATAAGCTTCCCTACGGCATTGGTGTTAAATGGAAAGACCTTGCACGAGCCCTTGGGTACTTTGAACCATGTATTGACGCAATTGAAGAGGAAAAATGTCACTGTCCAAAGGAATGCTGTATAAAGGTTCTTGTGCTATGGATGAATCGGGAGGGAGACGAAGCTACTGCTGCAAGATTAGCTGATGCTTTAATGAGAATAGGACTTAAAAACCTGGCTGACATTTTGATATACCCAATCGATCCAAGCCAGGTAAGTATGCTTCTAAGTCAACTTGCATTAATCGACTACTAATAAATCTAAACGAATCAGAGAAGAGCTATTATTTTCGTCTTGTATAGACAAATAAAAACCTTAAAACAAACAACGTGGCCGATTAAAGGTCATTGTAGTTTAAGTTAGCGATTACTTCTACTGCACCTTTATATAGTCAATGACGTCATACCACTTGAACCACAGCAATGCTTCAGGGGTTTGTTTTCGAATTTCCTGATTGTTGTTTTAAGGGATTACAAAATTTGAACTAGAAGAGCAAACATTAACTCTGGAGTCCAGGTTGTAGTCAAAACCGTTAACTGATCTTTGTAGCACCGTTCATATAATTCTTAAGATATATTAAGTGTTTTGTCATACTACTTTTATTAGCTCATATAAAAAGCTCCATTTGCTCCAAAATTCAGCTAGGATCATTTCACTTTTGCTCCCAAAAAGAAGAACAATATTAAAAAAAGGAATGAAGTCAACTTTTTTCGGGAAATCAATCGGACAACTATCGTTATAAATCGGCATTCGTTTGACAAAAAAGGATATTTTGGTATGTTATATATTATCTGGTGTACACTATTATGCACTCAAGATCTGCGACCAACTGCATTCAACAATTGCAACTCATTTTCTTAAAACGAAATATGTCGTATAGCTACAATTTTTACTTTTCATATAATTTTTTTTTTGTTTTTTATTTTAGATCAACGCATTTGAGAAGGAAATTCGTGAGATGAAAAGTCAGTTGGTCAGCTTAGAAGCAAAGGTAGATAATGTATGAAAACATCATAGTAGTGCTTATAAATGAATACTTGTTATCGGCACGCTAACCTTCGCTTCTTTTTTACAAAATAGGGTTCCAGAATGAGCGCCAGGATTAAAGAACTAGAAGAAGAGGTAAGGTTGTACAATGTCAATGTTAGTTTATTATGAACCACGCATGCACACTTAATCATATAGTCGCCTCTTGTTTTTGACACGCTAACCTTCGTTCAATTTTGACAAAAAAGGGTTCCATAATGAGCACCAGGATTGAAGAACTAGAAGAAGAGGTTATGCAACGTCAATTTTGGGTTTATTATGAACCACGCTTGTACACTTTATCATAGTTGCCTCTTTCCGATAGCAGAAGGGTATAAAAGGGAGTACGTTTTAGGCAAGTTGTGAGAGAAATATTATTTCTCTTAACAACATTTTATATTCCCATTTTTATATTTCTTTACGTGATGTACATAAAATTATCTGCCGCTGTTTTCTTGGATCTGATCAACACAGAGTATTTGAGAACAAGAGAAACAAAAGCTTTTTGTCGCTGAGGAATTATTTCATTTGCCAAGTTCACAGCTTTTAATACTTCAGCCCCACTCTGACTTCGTACTTGTTCCATTTTTGTTAGCTGAAGGTTTTTTTTTTGGAAGTTAGAGATTAAGGATTGATAACTCACATAAATTACCAGAACAGATTATTGAAGAAAATACTTATTTTAATTTAATTTGTTCATGTTTTTGTTTTGTATGATAACAGAACCAGCAATTGCGTGCCACTGTAGAAATTAAAGATAGAGGAGAACGTGAACAGGAGATTAGCCAGGTATGCATGAAATCACCAAGCTAATTGTGCTATAGTTTGGCGTACAATGTTTGGTCAAACAAGCATCTTTTTTTCCCTTTTCCTTTACAGGTTGAGCAGGTTTATAGAACGGGCAACAAATCTGAAGAGTTAGAAGAACAGCTTTTAATTGCCAGGCAATCGTCTCAAGAGAAAGAGGAAGAAGTAAGACAGCAATTACTGCCGTGTAATGATTGTACGCCTGTCGTGCGTCTCAGGCCCTGGAGACTAAGTTGTCCCGGAAAGAGGATCACACCCTCCAAGCCGAGTAAATTTTAGTGAACGTTCATATGAGAAAAACGTTTACCCATTTGCCGGAGCCAAGAGTGCTTGCGCATGCTCTGATAGTCTCACCTTGATGGAGTTCGCGGACTGCAGGAGCCAAAGTAAAGTTGGCCCGGCTAGAAGGACTAGAAGGGTGACCCTTCCATCCGGAAAAACGGTTCACCAAGTTTTGAAAAGAAATTGGGGAACTGTTTGACTCGCGCCCAGGGTAGCTCTGGCAGGTGGTTGATCCTTGAATCCTAGGCCAGTTTACTCCAGATAAACCTGGCCTTATAAATGTTTAGTGTAAGGTATTAGACTTACAGACCTATAACAACTGCGTCACTTAACCATTAACTAGCAAAATTAGAATACATGACAATTCCACAAATCGGGAAAACGTGATTTTTGAAGTTGATTTTATCAACATGCAGTTTAGGAGACGAATTATTTTTAAAGTACGTGCACGCGCGGGTAAAGGAAAGATTTGCCAGCCTTTCTCTCGGCAAAAAGGCATTTGGCGTTTTTACAAAATATTAATAACGTTTGTTTTTCTTCGTTTTACAATCTACAGATCTTACGATTGAGAAAAGAGATTGATGAACTTAAAGAAGAACTTTCTAATGTCAAGCGTGAGTCACGCGATACCAGGCAAGAGGCAAGTCAATATTGTTGACACACATAATACATGGGGAACATTGTAACAAACATCTTAATTTTGATCATCTTATCTGGTTATCTGGTTTGGCGTCTTCTAGTTTAAGATGGGAACAAAAAACAGTTGAGAACTGCGAAAAATTAAAAATCGTCAGACGAGCAATTTTTCGCAATTTTCGCAACTGGCTTTCAAAAACCTCCAACCTTGCGATTTTTGCGATTTTTCGAAAACATGACTGGCCCAAGTTATACTTCTAGTCCTAAATGCCAAAAACAGTGGTGGCAACTCGAGCCCAAATGTCTGCCTCATGAGGTTTTGCGTTTGGCGTATTTTTAGTTGCCTATTTGATCGCTTTCTTCTTTTCCACCAGAGTCATTTTCTTATGCACTTTTCGATTTATAATGTGTTTTAGGAGGGCGCTTTCTTCTCGGATGCGGACCAAGCAGATAGGGAACATCGCATTGGGGCTCAATTAAAAAATATTAACGAGCAGCTCAACACATACGTTACATCTCCTTTGCAAACGCCGGTAGTAAAACAAGACCAACTACGATTAGCCGTCAGACTTGACCTTTTGATTAGACTGAGCGAGAACCTGCAAGAGTTATACACTGAGACACAAGGAATGATTTCGGAAGCTGTTAAATGTAACGAAGGCTTAAGAAGAGACTATTATGACCTTGCCTATCACGGTCTTAGGGCGGAACACTTTGACTTGGTCCACCGAGTAGAAGATTTGGAATCTGCACAAGAGGATATGTCTGAAGAAGAAAGAAAAGAATATGAAAGACTTCAGTCATATCAGAAGGACAGACAAAGACAAGTCGAGGCATTGGATAAAGTGTGGAGACATCTTTTTTCTCCGGTATGTGAACAGAGCAGAACTTGTTTTCAGTCAGATTGGTTGCTCAACTCTCCTAAGCATAAAAAAATAGGCAAAACAAGCTAAACGGTATCATGTCATAGTGCATAGTTAGTGAAGGTCCTAAAGAACGAAATTTCTTATTTATAATCTTATCGGCTCGCCCTTGCAATACTCTGCGAACAGAGACCCATTGGTCTTCGATCTTCTTCGACAGTAGCCTGTGAACAGGCCTTTGGTCGAGCGGGAAACTGGGGAGAGGGAAAGCGAAAAGGCCTGTAGACAACCCTGTAGACAAACATTTGGGACCGCCGTTCTACGGCACACGCTGTGCATCAGATCATGATGCAAGCTCCTATTGGCGAGCGAACAGAGACCCTTTGGTCTTCGATCTTCTTCAACAGTAGCCTGTGAACAGGCCTTTGTTCCAGCGGGAAACTGGGGAGAGGGAAAGCGAAAAGGCCTGTAGACAACCCTGTAGACAAACATTTGGGACCGCCGTTCTACGGCACACGCTGTGCATCAGATCATGATGCAAGCTCCTATTGGCGAGAACACTGACTGTTGACAGAACTGATTGACATCGGCTTTTCGGTCGGCACGTATCACGCGATTTGATCACAAAGTGGCAATAACAAAACAGTCCAAAGAATGTTAAGATTATTCAAGAGCTGTTACCAGGGAAGAACTACGCGCTCCAGTCAAAAGACTCACATTATGTTTAGAAAACCACTAAGCTGGAGTTTAGCTAGTCACAATGCAATTTTCCATAGTTGATGTAGCTTCGGTTTAAGCTGTGCTTCAATCTTGCAATGTTGGATCTGTAAATCACTGCCCGTGATAATTTTTAAACATTCTGCAAAGAAAACTAACGAGCTGGGCTCAGCTTGATACAACATTGCAGAAAAACATTACATTCACGGACTAAAGAAAATCGCTTAGTCATTCAGATCCAGAAGGCACTTTGGAGAAAAGTAAGACCCTTATTCAGCCGCAATAAAAAGCTTTACGCTTCAAAAGAGGTCAAAGAAAATGCTCTTGCATCAGAGGGCAAATCCTGCCGACCAGAAGCGAAAACCACAGTAAACTGATGTGTGCCATGACCTCTCAGTGTGATATAAGCGGCTAAAATTACATTTGCTCAGTGAAAATGTAGAACCTTTCAAGCATAATCTACTCACCTGAAGAAAAAACTCATGGGAACAAGCAGCATTTTGGCATGAGGTAAAAGTCGTGTAGGCCTACCGCCCCCTTTTATTGCTATAAGTACCCGAAGGTGTAATTCCTGTCGGCGATCGAAGCGCTGCTGATCTCTTTGTCCTTATCTTCGTAGCTTCACGTTCTGGAGAAGTCATGATAGTTCCTGTACCTTTCGCATTCCAGTTCGTTCATTGCAGGGGCTTGTTAAATAAGAAACTGAACTCGCAAGACGAACGGCCTGTCGCGCACAAGTTAAGCAGCTTAAATCGGAAAAGCTTTCTCCTTGCTCAAGGAGAAATCTTACGATTCAAACGCTTGCGCTAGTACAACGCTGTCTTGACCACTGTCAACCAGCAAGGTCTTATTTCTTTTCTTATTTCTTTCTTCCAAAGACTGGCACGGTATTAATTCTCTTACCAGAGATCAACCACTTTTTGCAAAATCGACAATGAGGCTCGCGCTCCATTTCACTCAGTTTTCAGACGGAGCAAAACACCGCTCATTTCCCGTTAATTTTTCCAGGAGTTACTCAAGCGCGAAAATTGATTGACAGAGAACGATCTTGCTGACAGATGATCGGCAGGACAATTACAAGATGACGGAATAGCGACCTCAAATATTTGTCTACAGGCTCTCCACCCCCCCCCTTTCTCCCTTAATTTTTCCAGGATTTACCAAAAGGCGAAAATTGATTGACAGAGAACGGTCTGGCTGAAAGATGATCGGCAGGACAATTACAAGATGACGGAAAAGCGACCCCAAAAATTTTGTCACAGGCCCCCCCCCCCCCCCCCCCCCCACTTTCCCTTCCCTTTCCAAGCTCTTTTTCCCCAAACAAAGAGCCTTCGACAGAGGGGCGTCTGCTCGCAGGGTCTGCTTGTAATCATTTCAAACAGCATCAGTCGTGGGGCCAGTTGCATAAACTCAGGCGATCGTAAAAAGCAATCTTCGACATTAAACTCAGGGACCAGTTGCTAGTTGCGTTTCATCTGACGTTCAATTTAAACGCAAGATTCAATGGTCATGATGCAAAAGCCTCTTGTCAGTTCAGCCCAAAGCTTACTGACTTTTGTTATATTGCAGGTCGGTCGCCTTCCTAAAACAACAGCATCAGATCCTACTGGCAGCAAGTCGAGGGGGTGTAAAAAGGTAAATGCATGTATGTTGAGGATGTGATCTATTCACCAAACGCTAAATATAGAGTGTTTTCACATGACATCATGGCGGCCATCATTTGGTGTCGCAAAACAATAAGACAGCTGTCATGTTGGTGTCCTAAACTAATCCTGTGGAAGTTGAACTCCTTTCCTTTGCAAACGGCTTTCTTTTGTTCCAATATCTATGCATAGATACTGGTCACGTGAGTGAAAACGCTCTATATGATATATGATAGCCATCACAAAGTGTCCTCGAGAATAATAGTTTTCCAGCTGAAGATCTGTCGAATCTTAAGCAAAGATAAGAAAAGAAAAAACAACACAATGAAACAATAAGTGCTTATATTTCCAGCAGTTCTTCATGTCCGTTGTCACTTCATTTAAGCTGCATGTTCCCGCTTTACTGGAATTATTATGAAAAGAAAAGAAAATCGGAAAGAAAGAAAATCCAAGAAATTATTTCTCAGCTCTGAAATCCGTTTACAGATTTCGCGTTCGATTGCAAATCCGAAACCCGGATTTTATAATCTGAATCCAGATTACCCAATCGAACGCACCCTGAGCAAAGAGACAACGAAGAAGAAAAGTCAGTTAGCAATTTCACTTTTCTTTTGAAGGTCTTGCGACTCACGGATCCGAGTTACTTACTCAAGAAGCTAAAATTACGTGAAGAAACCGATACAGGCGCTGAAGCGCCTTCAACCAGCAACGATGAAAAACCAGAAGAAGACTCTCGTGTAAGTACTGGCGAATTTCATTTCTTTTTAAAATTCCTCCTGATTTTCGAAAGTTGTAACCAGTTTTCTACCATTTTTTAACATTTTTGTCAAAGAGAAGTTTTATGAGGAAAAACTGGCTAAAGGATTAAACGTTTCTGTCAAACATGAACTATAGGAAACATGGATTTCAACTAAACTGAGGTTTAATTAATGCGTAATTAATCCAATTGAATTATCTCAGTACTCTTTTGTCCTGTCCGGTCCCAGTGTATTTCTCGTAGAAAAGCGTGGAAATACAGGGCACTAATTTGTTTTAAAGGACTCAATCGGCATTCGTAAGATCTCCTCTAAAAAGTTAAGGAGAACACACCGCACGCTTAGCACCCTCGTCTCAGGTTTTAAAGAGGACGCTCGGTTACCAAGCCTCCGCCAAACGCCAATGGAGTTTTGAAGAGTATTTCCAGGCTTTTCGGAAAAAGATAAAATATACAGGAGAAGACAAAGAGTACTTTAATCTGGGTTATTCAACCTTTTTACACAAAAGTTTAACCTTTTATTTAGTCGAAAACCATGTTTCCTCTGTTTACTTTCTATAGCTTATGATTTAAAGTGCATTTGAGCAATCGGCACTTCTCACGTTCTTGTCTGCTGCTCCTTTACCATTCAGTTAGACAGGGACCGGGCTCCGCTTGGGGGAAATTTCAAAGGAAAAAAAATGGCGGGCGAAGTGAATCATCTTTTCCTGTAAAAAACACACCGTGGGAATTGAATAAATATATTCCTTCACTAAATAAACTTATTTTTTTATTTTGCAGCTCATGCGTAAAAAAAGATCCTCAGTTGGAAACGCCCTTCAGTCCATCCAGTCCAGAAAGAAGGAGGGTGGTGAAAAACAGAGCTCTAGTGTCCCTTACATGTTAATGAGGGATGGTTAATTCAGTCAAGAGGGTCTCAATGGGGTAGACTTGCTTCGACCTCACGACTTTCTTAGCAAGCGGACCGAGCTCTTTAGTCCGGGAAGCGACCAAACAAACGACGAAGTCACGAGAGGTCGTCCCGCGCCCTATTGAATCGGATAAAGGACTTTTGGAAAGTCTACCAATGGGCCTTGATGGTTGACGGTTAAATTTTAGAGCTTTTTACGGTTGACGGTTATTAAGTGGAAATTTATTCCAAGAGTTAAGCTAAATATTTCCTGTTGTAAGGTAATCATAAATGGTGTGTTTTGGAGGTTGTCTTCGCCTTACACTTACAGAATTTAGAAATATTTTCGGATATAAGCATGTTCTAAGGTCTTTTTACGCCCAGAGAGAGTGTTTTTGAAAACGGAAACTGGTTTTTCCAGTTTGTTGATTCTTAAGCAACCAGAAGTCCGCTTGAAGATCAGCCTGCTGAAATAGACAGATTTGAAATACTTCTGTTGAAACTTTTAGTCGCATTTTTGACAGTTGGCCGTTTGAAAGCTTACTGTTAACCCCATTGAGACCTTTAGTTAAACATTTATAGCTACAATTGTAGACATCTTTTGTAGTCATCATAATTTCACGATTTATTCACTATTAGCCTGTTCCAGGCGTGCGGATAGTGGGGTGCGGCGCGAAAGAAGAGAGCGAGAAAAAAATAAGGAGGAAAAGGGGGAGAGGGAAAGTTCCCTCGCTCTCACCCCTACCCCACCCCCTCGTTGTGGTTGTTTTTTTTTTTTCTGCACGGATGTCTTTGCGCTATCCCCACGAACTGAATGCCTGGAACAGGCTAATTCACTTTGGATGCGGAGGCAATAGACAACAACAACTTTATTGACTTTATCTTCATCATGAAGATTTCAGTGTCAAAAAAAGAATAATAAGTAAGACAAAAATAAGAACAAAGTAAAGTAGGAGAAAGGAACAACATTAATACATCGAGAATTACGTGGCTATGTATGGCTTCTATGTTATACTCGTAATTCCAAGAATGCTAGATTGGAGTTCGGATTTATAACAATTGAAATTTAATATTTTTAATATATCGAGGCACTAAGATTTATGATGCTCGCACTGATAGATAGAAGAAACAGAATTTTAATGATAGTCGTATTATAGTTGTAGTGTTGCATAATCCTTTGTTAAGTTATAAAAAAGTTAAAACCGGGTACAAATTTTCATTTGCCTTTTCATATCATTACAAATCCGAGGAAAAATTATATACAAGGTGTATGCAAAGTTAGAATAGGACATTTTTTTTTCTTATGTACCATCATCAAAATAACGAGAGTATTTTGTGAATGAACTGATAAGCAGAATACAGACGGATGGAGTTAAAAAAAAAAAAAAAAGAAATTAGGGAATACAAGGGGTGAAGAATTAAGGGAGAGTGAATTTGTTTTCTGGAAAAACAATTAAAAAAATTTTTATTTAAAAAAGAGGTTAATGGTTTCTGTGTTATTAGTTATTTTNTAGGACATTTTTTTTTCTTATGTACCATCATCAAAATAACGAGAGTATTTTGTGAATGAACTGATAAGCAGAATACAGACGGATGGAGAAAAAAAAAAAAAAAAAGAACTTAGGGAATACAACGAGTGAAGAATTCAGGGAGAGTGAATTTGTTTGCTGGACAAACTATTGAAAATATTTTTATATACTCAAGGGGTTCAAGGCCTCAGGGATAAGGGTGTGTTTTGAGCACGTGAATATTTGGCATTATCTCTCTCTAGGAGACCTAAAACACAACGAATTTTTTATCACAAGTAAATCTTGAGGTTTTCTTGTGCCTTAACGTTTAAATATGGTCACGTGACATGTCCCGTGACCAAAAATTGAAAATGAAGGAAATTGGTTAATTGGTGGAGAATTGACTTTGTTTAGATAAAAAATTGGCATTTCTGAAAGAGGATAAACATACTTAACTTTCTACGTTTGGAATGAATGTACACGAAGTTTAACATTGAAGTTTTAAATAATTCAAGATTACACTTGGGCATTTAAAATGAAATTTTCGCTCATAATTTTTTATGGAAGTGCAATGGCCTTAAACTACTTAGCCCAGTTGTTCGAAGGCTGATTAGCGCTAACCCAAGCGTTGAATTTTAACCTGGTTTTTTTTTTTTTTCTTTTGTTCAAAAGAATTTTCCTGGATAGTTTTTCTTGATTCTTTTTAGAGCGTCTAATCATCAAATGGTAGACAAATAGAAAAAAACTGAATTAGCTTTCAAGCTTTCATATCTGAATTGAAATTTCTCACTTACCCTGGGCTATCTTAATCCAGGAACAACCCGGCCCTTGAGTATAGCATAAACACTGTAAAAAAGCATATTTTAGAAGAGGCGTTATGGTGTGACGCCTCTTTTATGAAAATTGATTAATAAATTTTACGGGGTTTTCTAGTTTTGTACAATAGTGACTTCTGTAGAAGGAGAATTAAGAGTAAGTGTAAAGGGTCTTCTTTGTATTTGTAAACTGCTTATTAGATGTTGAAACTTTGTGCTCGCATTTTATTGAAAGGGATTAAATTATAGAATTATAATGTTCTGTTCTGAAGATCTTGTGATCTTGTGAGGAGAGATAAGATTGTCGTGTTAACATATATTAAGAAATATGCGACTTATTGTTAAAAGATCGGTTCTTGTGATATTCGTACTACAATAAAGGAGGTTTCGGTCTTTAGAAGAAAACGAAAGCGGTTTGCGGTCTGCGAAGAACAAAATAAGGCGATTTGCGGAATGGTCGACCTCCTAATAGACCCTCTAAAGGAGTCAACGAGTCAATCGCTAAGAGTCCGGCGATCATGGTCAATCAGTCATTGGTTATTTTATGTCTGCACTATACTAGATATTTACTAGATAGCATTTCCTTCGGACAAGAAATACTATCTGGTACAGTATGAACGCGGCAACAACTCTGCAACACGTCGTTCACACATCGCACATCGTATCTGAATATTTACTTGCGCCGCGCCGATCTTGAAACTGGAACCCAGTGATTGACACAATCACTGGCTTCTACTTGCAAGATTGGCGCGGCGCATCTTCGCTCCGTTGAAGAAATCGCAGCGAATAATGTGATTAGAATTCCTTTCGTGGGCGGCGAAAGAGCTATCCCCGTCTGAACATAGCTTAATTCATTTAATTAATGATATTATACACAAGGACCTCTGTTTTTATAAGAGAACTTTGCTTCAAATATTATTGTTACGAGATGGACATGATTGAAAAAACGGAGTTAACAGGACAGAGATAAATAAACGCCGTATAAATGTTCGTGCGCTAGCGACTTTACGAAACTACGACGGCAACAGGAGAGTAGAGAAAGCAATAAGGAAAACAACAATTCTGCAGCTACTTTTCTCTCAATTTTTTTTTTTTGACGTCCCTGAACAACTACATCTTGAGATCGTGCGGCAAGGTAATACAGGTGATAAGGGACCAGTCATTACTTATCACCGGGGAATGGGGGGAGGAGTCGGAGGATTTGGGGCTAAACATGGTGAAACATCGCCAATCCCCCCTTTAAATCTTATTTCACCCTTAGTTTCACCCCTCATAACTCTTGATAACTTTCGTGAACCCCCTCCCCCCCACCCCCTCAACGTCTTTGCACCCATATTTACCTTTCGACGTCTGTATTTACTGTCAGTTAAAGTTCATAAAATGACATATCATCTTTTTTGACAAGAGGTTACAAATTGTAAGTACATGTATAATGCTGCGAGCACATGCTGACTAGTAAAACATTATCGAGGCATACGAATTTTCAGTTGCTAATTACAGACGACACTTTTATTGGGTCAATTAAAAGTTATGGGAGGTAGTGAATGGGGTTAACCGACTAGCGACAAAGGGCGAAAAATATTACTGACTACCGACAAAACGAGTGAAAAATTACCGACTACAGACAGGAGAAACATTAACCGACTACCGACATGGGCTGACATTATCAATATTTGTTTCAGAAAAAAGAACATTTTGAATTTTTTTTCTAGCCGTTAGGAACAGTAACCTCTTTAAGTTTATGACTCATCAGATGGTCTAACAGAAAGAACTTCCTCTTTTGTTGATAAGGGTACATTACTACAACTAATATCATAATCACAGAAGCCAGACTTTAAAGATGCTACCGACTTTATAAATTTTATTGAAAAGACAAATGTGAAAAAAACTGAAAGTTTCTTGTTTCGGTCATATATTGAGACACAAAGTTTAAGCAAAACCGTCTGAAAGTTTCTTGTTTCGGTCCGAGAAATGCTTAGATTAATCCTCAAAGAAAATTCTTTCCAGTTTAATGGAAAGCACTATCAGTAAAAAACCAAGGTACCGCGACGAGCACATACAGCAGTTTCCTTTCCAACATTTTTATGTCCGCATATATTGAGACACAAAGTTTAAGCAAAACCGTCTTTAAACCAACTGTTTGAAAATGCTACATAAATGACATTTTTTCCCTATGGGACATAAGTAAACCAGACGTGGTAGATTTCTTCAAATTGAAGGAGCAAGTAAACTTACTTCACCCTACTGCTCTACAGGCTATGAAATTTACGGCCGAAATATCTGACACTGAGACAATCTTTTTAGACCCGGTTGTATACCAAGGCACAACATTCAACGAAAAATAAGAAAAAGCTATCATTGACGTAAAGACGCATTTCAAACGGAAACCTTCCAGTATATACATTTTCACCTCTTACCACCCACCAATTGTTAAAATGGATTTGACAAACAAGGAGCCTTGAGAATCCTACGAACAAACTCCTCTGAGGAAGTATTTCAGATTTCAAAAAGCGGTTGATCGGACACCATTTTGAAAGAAAAATTGCTATTAGAAGTAAAACTCACAGAAGGAAAGCAGCGCCCCTAAAACGAGACAACAAGGAAGAAAAAGAAATATTGCCTTTCGTGACACAATACAAGCCCTTAGTGTCTATTATAAAAGAAGCTTTAATGAAAAAGTATAATCTCATACAAAACCAACCACTACCTTGCCAACTTAACCCTTGGACGTACACGCAAAATCATACCCCTCGCCATGGTATAAGAGGATGGTAGATGAACCCCTCCCCAGAGTTTTTGATTATGTTGCAGTATTTCGAAGCGATTTTGCCTTCACTGAAAAGCCTTTGATCCTCTTAACAAGATGAGATATATTTCATGAATGGTGGCGCTGCTGGAGGCCTTTTACGTCACCAACAATGGTCGCAATCTTTGCCACCATCTTGGATTTTACCAAGAATTAGAAATCAGGTTAAAACAGCGAGAAATGGTAATTGCTTGGCATGAGTAATAACACATAAATAAGCACTTTGCATGATTTTAGCTACAAGATTTTTCTTTTATTGTTGAAAAAAGTTGAAAAAAAGAAACATACTTTTTCACTCAAAATGGCTTGACCACCTGCTACTTATTACGTCATACCTCGTACCTTACCTTTTCACTAAGAATAATTTAAGTATCCAAAAGGCTGGAGTCCATTAATTAATTAATTACTTTTTACTGTGCCCTGTAATCGACAGGAAAACCAAGTTCGCATTTACAATAAACGGCTTGGTGATTTTATCAGAACTTATGATATTCATTTGGCAAACAATGATGAAATAAAGGATCATGATGCATAAACAAACAAGAGTTAATGAAGTTCAAGTGCAATCAAATAATGCATTCTTACAAGTTTTACTCTTTCCTTAGGGATCAAAGTCTTGAAACTGGGTGAAATACATAAAAAATATTAATAATTAACAAGCGTTTTTACTTATTAACTGAGATTTTCCGACAACCGACAAAAATCCAAAAGTTTAACCGACTACAGACAAAGATCGAAAATTTTAACCGACTACCGACAAAGTAACTGAATTTTAACCGACAACCGACAAGTGGACCCCCCCATTCAGACCCTCTTATGGGATAAAGGACCACAAGGGAATCCTACAGTTCTTTACGAGATTGAGGTCTTTAAAGTCGTACGAGAAATAATTTGAAACTATCAGTGCGCAATTGCAATATGCAAAACGAAGCCCAGTTAGAATGACTTACTAATAGAGTGTTACTATTTGAAATTTTATTATGATGACACCGCCACAACGGTGGACATACTTGCCAAAAATCATCCTGACGACAGGCATAAATCTAGGGAACCACAGGGAACGCTGTAGTGTGCTGCTCGCCAAAAATAGCAAATAGCCGGAAGTGAGGGAAAAACCAGTCTTTACTGTACAGAGAACATTTTAATCACATTTAATTGTAGAAATGTTAAGTGAAATTGAAAGATGCTTCTAGATTATAAATCAGATTGGAACGTAAAAAACATAGCCTCAGTGAACAGAGCATGCGTTTTACTGTTTTGAGTAGTAAAGCTGTTTCACGTTAGATTTGTGACAAACAACATCAGCCTCCACTAGTAAACTATTAATACATACAACACTCCATGGGAAATTCAAAATCAACGTTTCGGACGACAGTACACTGTTTCTTTTATCCCGACTTTTTAAGCGCTCGAAATATGGTTTGAGTTATCGAGGGTAAATTTATATGGAAATGATCTGAGGGGAAACAAAACTTACTTCGAGTTAGCGGGAGTTTCGAGTTATTAGACTGGGCGTCCCTCAGGATGGTCACGCGAGCAAGGAAATCGAGCAAAGCGAGCGGGAAAAAAAAACGAGAAGCCGAGAGGGAAGCTGGGGAGAAGGCGGGAAAGGCCTCTCTCCAGTTTCCCTCTCGGTCATTTCGCTCTCTCCAGTCCTGCAGAACTTAGTACTCGACTGACTGAAGAGGGACTGCTCGCAGTCTATCGAGTTATCGAGGGTCCGACGAGGGTAAAATTACAGTAAATGCACGAAGGAAGTCCAAGGATAACCGATTTTGGTTCGAGTTATCGGGAGTCAGCTGTACTATAAGTAGTGGAATTGGTATAAAAACCTCATTTGAGACAAGAGTAATGTCATGAAAACCGTACCGTGTTCAGCAGCACGTCCGCGATCAGAGCAAATAAGGGAGTATCCGCCCCGCCCGGGATGGAAGCTGACTAACACTGCTCTGACAGCTATCAAGGTTACCACAGACGCTCCATGGAGAGTCCCCAGTGATGTTTTCTTATACAGTCATTCTGACCCAAATTTCCGCTCAATCCCGTAGTCCCGATGATTGTTTTGGCAACCCTCATCCCTTGCATACTATCAATTCCGAGTCCCGCTTCAAGTTTACTTTTAAATCCCGAATCAAGGCGTTCAAATAAAGAGAATCCCGAAACCTACTCGGGAGCCTCATCATGAGTAGGTGAAATTAGCATATATTTGATCAGTGCTAACATCCGGTTACTAATATGGGTATTACTCCGGGTGAAAACCCTCTCAATGCTTGATAGGTCATGCGTTCATAAGGAAATGTCGAATTGGCTGAGCTCCAGAACAGAGTACTCTTGTCTTGATGTACGAAGCTTGTGTGTCGTTAGCATTTTCCCTTTATCAAATGCTCCCTATTCGTCTAAGTTTCAAGAGGAACAGTGAGTGTTAGTGTAAAGGAGCTTTGACGCTGGGAAGTGAACTTGAATATACCTCTTCCTTGTTTGACTGCTGTAGTCGGTATCGTTTGGAGGTGGCACATCCTGCCGTTTTTCAGTCACTTAAGAGATTCCTACCTGAACTTCACTTATCAAACTATACATGCATTTTGACTGAGGCCATATCTACTGCAGCTCAAACTCTGGAATATCGGGTAAGTATACTTTTTTCCTATTTTTTTAAGTGTATTATTGCAGGTCGATGTAATGATTCCTTATTTCCGGGTCGGTACATAAGTAAGTAAACATTTTATTGCACACATCGAGCTGTAAGAATTCACGGTTCTTTGCATGATTTGCGTCTTTATTTATCCCTCTTCAACCGTCAGGAAAACCGCTTCAAACCTAGAGTTGGATATAACTGGCTGTACCTATACCGCTATTTTAATAAGTTATGTCACGCTTAAGAATTTTACTCACAAAGGGTACTTTAAACAACTAGCTACAAAAAATAAAGTTCACCGGCCAGTGTCGAAGAGTCGCAAGTTTAAGACAAACTTAGGGTCTACATATAGAACTGAATTCGACAGAACTTGACGCAATTACATCAATTCTACCGTGAGACAAAAATAGTATAAATTGCACAATATACGGAAATTTCTTTGCATGACTCTCTGTTCCATTGATACTATTTTCTTTTACATATTAACATATTTTTAAATGACGTCACATCCCGAAGCGTCATTGTTCCGGTCAAAGCTTCTCAGTGTCAGCGGTCCCCCAGGGAGGGGAAACTACCATCAGCAGCCTAACCGAAAGATAAACAATTACGACACTGTTACGAGGCTTGTCGATTGTTCACGAACACTATTTATGAAGGAAATCAATAATTGTGTTCGTTTTTTTCACAATCATTGAATTAAGCTGAGTATCATATGAAAGGTCATGAAAGAATTTCGCAGAAAATAAAGTTTATTAAGATAGCTTTGTAAATTATTCCGATGATCCGCTAGCCGGTATAGTTAACTAGGAAAAAAGATGGAACTTAAGTGTAGCCCTGTAACCGAGATTGTAGCTGACAGTAGCGGACTGACACTTTGAGAGCCTGTGCAGAAGTCATGCGGAAAATCTAATGTGGGCTGCTATTACTGTTACTACAGAGCTACCCTCTATCAAAATGGGCCTGGATCCAAATCATCAGATGACTGAGCGCGAAATACATGACTATCACATACCTGAAGGCGTCGGGGTCCATTGGAAGGATCTTGCACGAGCCCTAAATTTTTTAGAACAAGTTATTAAGACGATCAAGGAAGAAAATGGCAACAATCCCAAGGAGTGCTGCACGGACCTTATGGTTCGATGGCTGGGTCGGGAAGGAAGGGATGCAACAGCTGGAATATTGGCTGACTCTTTAAGACGTATAGGACTCAAAAATGTGTCCGACAGATTGATTTGCCCCAGCAGAGATTCCGTGGTGAGTAGATATAATGGGGACTTTATTTTGGTCCAGTGTTTTGTGTAGTTTACACCAATAGTTCTCGCTGCTATTTGTTCAAAAGTTGGGTATAGCATTACTATATATATTTTGAATCAAGATAATTTTTTGCACCGGTTTCATTCTGCGATTCTGCATTTTTCAACTACAGATGCCGGCTGTAAACGCGCAAAATGTTCCATCGGAGTTCTTCTTTGTAAAAGGCCTTTGTTAAGAATATACGCATTTCTTTTCAGATCAACGGATTCGAGGAGTTTCGTGAGATGAAAGTTCAATTATCCAGCTTGGAAGCAAAGGTATTGAAAAAACAAACGACAAAACAGTGCTCTTGCCTGTAAACTATACATGACCACTTGGAGAAGATGGTGATTTTAATGCATTTCTTTTTTGCTTCGTAAACAGGTTACTAAGATGAGTGCCAAAATTAAGAAATTAGAAGAAGAGGTAAGCTATAAATATTTATTAGCCTAAGGGATTTATAGGCTTCTCAAATAGAATACTCACGTGCGACGTATACATCACTTCCCTTCAGTCTCCAATTAAAGGCTTTGGTTATCAATAAAGACAGAATGAAATACATAAAAACAACATGCATTTTAACTGATTGACTTTACACGGTGCTCCTTAATATTTAGAACAATATATACTAATAATCACCCCATATCAAAAGCTTAAGGGCTGTAAAAGGTTCATAAATAACATAGCGCAAGTGTCATTTTAAACGAAAAAAGGCCTTAATAAAAAGAAGCAAGTTCAAAACATTTTGACATTCATTTTACAGTTTGAAAATATCATTTTGCCTACAGAACCAGGAACTGCGTGCTAGACTAGGATTGGAAGGCGCAGGGGACTATGAGCAGGTATATAAGAGCCTCTTCAGATGGGCCCGGTTTCCGAGATCTCGCCTTACCTCTTAATCCTTTGTAAAATTTTCGATGTGTTTATATGAGGGGGCGGACTGGCTCAGTTCCTGAGATCTTGGTTTTTCCAACCGAGATCTTTTTAAGCGGGCTGGAAATTTTGCCATATGAACACTTCAGCCCAGTTACCGGATGAAAGCGGGATGAATTCTTCAAATGAATTCTGCGTCGTCTTGCTTTGCCCGCGGTATTTTCCACATCATAAGCCTCCCATTTGACAAGGGTGATACAGCTATAAGAGCTGCCAAAGCTATAATAGGCGCGAATGTTTTCGAATTTCGCGCCACAACTCGTCTTCAGCCTTTTCTCATCTCGGAACCGGGCTGAAATTTCTCATATGAACCCAAGGCAAAATTGGTCCCAGTAAGTGGGACAGCCCGGTCATGATCAACCGGGCTCAAGTGAAGAGGCCCTAAGTAAACCACGTGTTTAGTCTTTTGGGCCGGAGATGTTCGATCAAGAGTTACTTCATCTCCCAGGTTTACTGTAAACGGAACCTATGTGCAATACAATACGATACAATGTAATACTTTATTGAATCTCCCCAGAGGCGTTTTTCAGTGATAATTTGCAATAATCATTAACAAATAAAAGTTAAAAACTGTATATAAATAAATATTAAAAAGGGGAATTAATTTAAGTAATTTAAAACTAGCTAAAACTGGTGACAGCGGGACAGTATAGTAAGAAACCAATCAGGATCTGCGTTAATTTTCTTTTGAACATCTCAACCTCAAATTCCATATACAAAATAATGGAAGTTCTCATAACCCATTACAAAGAAATTCACGCCTTTGATCATGAAATTTCCTATGAAGCGATTTACAGTAAGACCCACTCAAGTATTGAGATCATGCAATCTAAACAGAATGTACGAATGCACCCAGGAGCCCAAGCAACTCCCATAGACTCCTGTATGGGCCTTTTGACCAATCTGTTAATTTTTAGAACGACTTTGGCGACTTTAGAATATCTTTTAATTGTCACCAAAACCTACAGTCCTCAAAGTGGTATTTAAGACCTTTTGGTGAGGTTTAGATTTTCTTTTTCATTTCAGTCCTTCTCCTTCGAATGTGCTCATGGACATAGCAAAGCTACTATTTTCACGGGAAAAGGTGCTCTAGGATGTATCTAAAATTATCGATCCGTGACACTGTCTAACATGGGATCGGGAGTCCCCCTAAGGGAGCGTGTCATAACCCATGACCGATGATGATGATGGTGATTCATATACGATTTTGTGGAACATAGTCTTATTGGTATACTATGTGAGAAACGGAAGATGAGCTTTTCTATCATCATTTTCCCGTTGGTTAACTAGTCCTCCCTTAAAAGGCCAAAGTTCGCACCTTTCTTATGTCAATTAACCTTAGTTTGCACCACTGTTATTCCATGTATTTTTTTTTTTCTATTTATGGCCTTTGCAGGATGTGGTATACGTAGAAGAACCTGATCAAACTGCTCGAGAGCGTCCAATCAGTGATAAGTTAAAAGATGTAAACGATCAGCTTAAGACTTACGTGATAGCACCTTTGGAAGTGTCAGAGGTCAAACAAGATCAGCTAAATACACCAGTCAAAATAGATCTGCTAACAAATATTTCCAGGCGTTTACAGGGGCTTTATAGCAAGATGCAAGCTTTGGTTGGGGAGGCTTGTCAATGCAGCGAAGACCTGAAGAGAGACTACTATGATCTCGCCAATAATGGGCTCATAGCAGCACACAATGACGTGATACACAGAGTAGATGATCTTAAATCTTTGCAAGAGAAAATGACGGAGGAAGAAAAACGGAATTTTCAAAAGCTACAAACTTATCAGGGTAACCGGCAAAGACAGGTCGAGATGCTAGATAACCTGTGGAGAACTCTCTTCAAATTCGTAAGTCACTCTGGTTTTGTTTGCCAGTCTACAGAACGAAGTCGAATTCAAAACTAAAGTGAGCCAAAGGGCTGTTATTAAGAATCAAGACTTTGGTCCTGTAAGCACATTTATTCGCTGTGTTAATTAAGTCCCTGGATAAATCATCCAAATTTTTTCAAGAAACAGCGAAGGCAGTCAGTCTTGTTCACGAAATCATGAGATCACCTTAGGTCAAACCTTACTCTAGTAGAGATTTATATAAATTCGGAGCGCAGACGTAGATTAAAAAACTCATTTCCAGAGCGTGGTTTTATTTTTCGGTGCCAAGTTTGGGCTCACAAGGCAAAAACAGGTGTTGGCGACGCTGATATGAATAAGAGGTGAAAAGCTGTCTTATATTCATCCTCTGATGTAGTGTTAAAAGTAATGCAGAGTCCAAGGCCGAGCTTAGTCAATTTCCTCGGTCGACCCAAGCATTTACCTGGAATGGGATGTCAGCCATCAACTGTTAACCACAAATTAACTTTTTTTTCATGATTTGCAGCCCGAACCACTCCCTAAGGCTCCAGTGTCTCAACCGCATGCCGCGAGTGAGAAGCCACGCGACAGTAAAAAAGTAAGTAACTATACTCTATTTTGTTATCAATTTTTCACCAAAGGTGCCAAATGAAAAGAACTAGCAGCTCCTTTTTAAGAGGTTTGTCATCTCCAGAATATTTTTACTGTTTATTGTGAAGGGTGGTCTGTTTAATCTTACAAGTGAAAGTTTTGTTGTTAAATTTAATGGAAAATGCTTTCGAGTAAAGCCCCGTTTTCCTGGAAAGAGGTTCGCCCTCCCAGCCATTACTCCCCAACGGTATAGATCCTGCTGTATAGATTATATCTTTTTTTTTATCGTGGATTATTTCTGTCTTTTACCGAACCTCTTCAGTATTGGTTAAGTTGCTAAATGCCGTTCATTTGAAAACTGAATTTCTCTGACACAAATACAACCCTGTGATTGCAGTGTGATAATAGACTAATAAAACAGAATTTTAATTTCATTGGTTATGCGTAGAAGCTTTCAAGACATTCAGACCCAGGAGTAAGGCCAAAACAACTGAAATCAGGCGGAGACGTAGCAAGTGCTGAAAGACCCCCACCTGGCAAAGACGAAAAAGCAGATGAAGTGTGCTTAAATGTAGGTATCACAAATTCGCACATAGCTAGTATTTCATTTGCCTTTTACTTGTTATGGGTAATTAAATTCAGCGTCGTGACCAAAATTAAACTTGTTGACGAACTAAACCGCGTGCGATTACCCTGATCCAGTCACCATCCATCCAACCCCTGACACTTGGACGGTAGATATTCTCTTTGGCTAATGAACTGTTCGAGAGCCACGTTATTTGTAAGAACTTCGTGAAACTAAAAAACCTTGGTTGTTACTTACGGGAGGCGTCTTTATCTTGCAGTTCACGCAACAGAAGTCAGCAATTGGATCAATGAAAAGCCTTTTTAAAAAGAAGGACAATGATGAAAAACAATGTTCTGTTGTTTCGTACACTCCGAGAAGGGATTCCTAATTGCCGTAAAGATCAGCGCAGGAATAACTGTCACAGAAAAAAATTGTGTCGTGCAAAATGAAAAAAGCTAAAGAGGCAATTTCAAAAAGAAATCTGCGAATACGTATACAGCAGGCAATCATTGCTCTCAGCCGACAAGAGCTAATTTTTTACCAGGGGTATAGAAGATTATCTTGGTAGTATAGTATAGTATGACATGACATCGCATGGTACGGCATTATTTAGGAAATTATGGTGTAGAGCATAGCATAGCATAGCATAGCATAGCTTAACACAGTAGCACATACAGTGTAGTGTGGTGTAGTGTAATTTAGTGTAGTATAGTGTAGTGAAGTGTATAGTCTGTTGCAGGCTCTCAGATTGAAGAGTGAGCGTAAGTGAAAGGCAGGCGAAAATATGAGCTTGGGAGAAGGGGTCTGCCCCATTTTATTTTCGTGTTCGTGCTTTAGTCAATTTAGCGGTCTCGACTCTCTCGGAGCCTGGAACGGTCTATGTAGTGTACAGCTTAGTGTAGTGTAGTGTAGTCAATAGTTCAGTTTCGGTAGTATATGGTATAGAATTTGTTAAACAAATTTTTCAGCACGCGTGTGTCTCTCTGGGTCCGCTGTGCCTATATATGTATCCCGCTTATTTTGATACAAGCTGACTGAATGTTGAGCTTTAGTGCGCCATGCCACATAACCAGAAATCAAAGCCAGTCGGCATGTATCCTGTTCCATGCCCAGAAAAACTCATGCAACCCCAGCTAATGATATTAATATTCCGAGATTAATTTTTTTACTTCGATTTGAAGAGGTGATACCAGGTTTTACAAAAGTTTACATGGTATGGCATAACAAATCCTACGGAAAAAGTCAGTTCCTAGCACTTCAATTTTTACTGCTATTTTTCAAAGTTATATTTTTATATTTATTTCGCTTTGCAGCAAGCAGAATGTTCTTGTTTCATTGTTTTAATTAGAAAACACATATTTGTACTTATTTTTGGTTAAACATGTCCCAAACTTGGAAATAACTGACTGCAATGGAAGAGAGAATGGTAAATTCTTTTGCAGGACAATGGGCGAGAATTGAAGAACTGTAACCTATATACAATGATAATATAGTTATGTATATATTCAGGACTATGGGTGCCTGATCTAGGATAGAGATTAAATCTCAATAAAACATCTGGCACTTGATTCTATTTATTCGGCATTGCTGGCCTTTAACCCTTTAAGGGCCCAATAGTGACCAAGATCACTATTGGGACACTGTTAAGAGATATGTTATGAGAATGAACAAAATGATCACCCAAGAGAAAATGCCTTGATCTATTATCAAATTCTCTCAACTTATTTTTGAAGGAAATGTATGGAGATCAGTTTGGAGAATTTTTATGTTGATACTGGGGCTTTTAAAGAACGTAAATTGATAAATGAGTAGTCAGTAAGGCGGTTTGGTGCAAGGGGCACATATTTGAAGAGGGACGCTCATTCAGTATTGTTGGCCTTAAGGGGCGCGCCAATAGAGGAGAAGTCGTTACGTCACGTTACCAAGGTGGCAAAATTTATTATTCTTAACGAACCGTGGTCCTGCAAATATGGCAGAAAAAACGAAAAAATTGACATGCATAACTTTCTAGTGCGAGGTCATTCTCATTTTCTGAATTTCTCTCCCGGTGTCTCTAGTAAGTTATTACGCCTTAGCAAGCACATCGATAGAGCATTGGGTGTCATGGGACTGTTCTATCACTTCCAACCTTCTTGCTTTCCTTATATAAAGCTTATTACATTGCAGCCGGGACGCAGCTAACAAAGAAAAATACGTATTAGTAAAGGTAACCAGTTTGTATATGTTTGACCGCAAAAATGGGTTTTGCACATAAAGCTAATTGAATTTAAAGATAACATAGGGGCTTTCCCCTGGAAAAAAGGAAAACTCTCCCTGCTGTAGTTGTCCTTAAAGCGGAGTCGCAGGATTTTAAACATTCAAGAGCTACAAATAAAGTTGGAGACGTTGGCACGCTACAGGCAACTGTTAAACTGGATAGTGGGGACCCTTGTGAACACACGTTTATTCACGTACCGGAAGAACTTTTCGACCAGTTGAAAAACCTGACCGGACATTGTGTTCTCGCGGAACCGTGAAATATTTTCAATATAATAAAACGAAAAGGACAAAACCAGACTTACTTTAAATTTTGTCAGCGGTTTTTACTTACCACCTTCCCACGGTATAGCGGCAATCTGTCAAATCCAAAATGACGTCTTCAAGTAAGGTTACCACCCCCTATCCCCACGACCAGGGGTCCTTTTGTCATGCGTTATCTCCGACTAGGACCAAATGCATTTCGGCCTCTGGGAAGGAGATTGCACCTTTCCATACATTTACAGCCGCACAGCTCGACGAGTTCTCCACCAGAGATAAACGATTACTTCTTTTGTCTTGGGGCGAGGGATTCTTACAGGTCAATTAGCTTTAAAGGTTAACACTTTATCATACAGACTTACTCTTTCACTTCTTCTTCCAAACTTCTTTCTTATAGTCTCGTTCCGAGCTTGAATCTTCTGTACCTTATCTCTTCCTCTTTAATTTCTTTCTCTCCCTAAAGAACCTACTCCTTTGTCAGCTCTCTATCAATATTTATTTGTTTGGTCGTTGATAATATGTTTACATTAATGATAATGCGTAAGAAACATTCACGTTCTTACTCACATACGATTATCTCGTAAGCTAAAATTTATTAGAAAAGCTTTTCTTCAGTTCTGGAGAAGGATAACTAAAAAAAAGGCAAATAACCAAGTAAAGTTCAGTAAAAGAAACACACTTTTGCACGGTTACTTTAAGGTTGCTTGGATGATCTTTCAAGCCAAGACTCAAAGGTACAAACTTCGTTAATGGTAAGGAGACATGATGTCCCACTCTCAAAAACCTTATATATTATCTACTTAAGAACACACGAAACCGAGGAATTCACAACTGAGTTACAGTCCTAAAGTCATGGAATCAACAAAGGGGGATTTGAAGGTACATAAGGGTACAAATGGGAGTTACCCTTGGTTAGTAACCAACTGAAAAAAGGTGCACTGATGTTCTGATTCCGCGCGTGATGCGGGAAAGCTTACTTTTTAGTATTTATCCTCCTAAATAAGGAGCTCATTAGTAAATGTGTTTTATATCTTATTTCATACTTTATATTAATGAACAATTAATAATATTCCAGAACCTAAAAAGCTTCCTCCAACGAGTGTGTCAGTATTTATTTCAACTTCACCGGATAAAATTTGCCAGCAATCAGTCAAACATCATTCCTTCTTCACCTTTTTATATTTTCAATGTTGTTTACTGGTATAATGTTTTACTTATCCGGTAAAGGATACATTTCGCTAAATCAAAAGTTACCGTATTTTTTCGATTAACCGCCCTGGGTGCTTATTTCATTTTTGGATCTTAAGAGTGGGTGCTTATTCGAGGCTGGGCGCTTATTAAATTTTCACCATTTTCAGCAAGTGTAGTATGTTTATTTTGCAACAAAGTAATAAATGGTAATAACAAAACGCAAAGATTTAACAAAGCAATGTTTCAGTAAAATACTTTGAAAACAAAACTCTGTCTTCGGGAGAGTATTTTATTATTTCTTATTGGATTTTGAGTTGGAGGGGGTGCGGTTAGATGGGGGTGGGCGCTTATTAACTTTTTCTGCCTTTAGGATGGGCGCTTATTCGAGGTGGACGCTAATTCGAGGTTGCGCGCCTATTCGAATAAATACGGTAGATATTGGTTTCACTTTAAAAATCATTGGGAAGATATGTAGAACTTCCATTAACTTAATATTTTTCATAAATCGGGACGATAATTAATGTAAGTCCCGTGACGATAGTAACAGAAACGGTTTCCGTTAAATTACATTCAGCTCCTAGAGCACTGAATATCACGAGAAATACAACCTTAGATAACGATTTCCTAGCCTGAATTTCACGCATTCCTTCAAATAAAATTCAGGCTAAACGATTTCCCTAGATGAGATTTTACACGATTTTCCGTTCAGTCAATCGATTAAAATCACTCACGATTTTTATCGGTTTTGATTTTATCTATCCCGGATGTAACTACACCCAGAAGGACACTCACGGTATTTTAAGAGGGTGGCAGATCTCAATCATGAAAAACTGGGTGCTTACCATAAACCTGGCCAATATCAGCCATCAGAAAAAGAATAAACAAAAAAACGTGGTTTTAAAGAAAAGATAATATTTTTTGAAAATGATTTTTTAAAAAGTGATAATTATTTGATCCTTCGACTCTCACTTGCAACTCATTTGTTAAGAAATTTACTGTTTGAATGAATTCTTTTTTAATTATTTATTTATTATATTATTGTTATTATCATTTTGTCATTTAAATTAAATATGTACAAAAAATTCAAAAAAGATGAGGCAAGGGAACATAAGGAAGCCAACAAGGCTTATGAAAAGGATTACCTTTCTCCTGCTTTAAAAATATATGACTTAATTAATGAATAAAACACTGGCAACAATTTCTTTACTACATAGAAAATAATCATTAAATAGGATAAAAATAAATAAGGCTGAACGTGCAAGTGCAAAAACGAAAAAGAAAAAGTGGGAAGAAATAATGCAAGAATACGAGAAAAAAAGCAAAACAAGCGAAAAACTACCGGCAAGCATTAAAGAAGAGAAGTAAGGCGTGTGCCTCTACCAAGAAAAAAATGACTTTAGCTTAGAGGTGAACACAGCAGTACAAGCAATTCAGTTTTCATTTTTTGATGAACGGATGAACAGATGTATTTTCCGATATAAATCGATGAAATCGGTAAAAATCAAGATAAATCGATTTAAATGTTCTCACTCGGCATAGCCAGTCTTAATGTGTTAATGATGCTGACAGTTTCGATGACTGTCAGCCATCTTTACCAAAACTTGGAATTAACAAGCAACCTATTTAAGGCTTCTGAAGGTGTTAATTATCGCGATAAACGCGCAAAGCCGCACTGTGTAGACGCCCCCTCCCCCCCCCTGGTTTGGGGGTGGGAATCACTTGTGTCCATATGGCAGGGTCGTAACATGGTATATCCGGGACCCAATGATCCCTATTTTCTTGCCGTTATTTTGATCCCTGAGCCCCATTTCCCCCAAAATTTTGATCCCTGAGCCCTGATAAAAAAATTGACCCCATCCACGCTTTACACAAAATTTTAACTTAGACAACTTTGTTTATCTCCAAATGTAGAATACAGAACATGCTTAAATGGGCTGATGAGAAAAAAAATCAACTTTAATTTTTAGTGCAAGTTGTAGGTTCTATCAGAGCTTCAAAGATCAATATGAGTTAACTTCTTTTTGTGCATTATTCTATTTAAAACTCTTGAAATACAATGTTTGGCGATACTAGACAAATGATAAAACCTGATTTTCTTGAACGGAAGCTTTAGTAAGATACAGAATGTAAGTTTTTGTTAATTTATACATTAAAAGTAGTCCACTTCCCTTTAAGTATCGTACATCTTGAAAGATCTTACTGCGGAAACTTGATTTTTTCGGATGCAACGTTCATCAAGAGTATTTTCAATGTTTATTTTCAGAGTTGCTCATACGAGCGAGGCCACCCAGAGGTTTATAAGCCAATCACAAGAAAGCATTGGATTCAAAATTCGAATAAATACATTTTTAGTCAAACAGCAAACACAGCTAGCACTGGTTGGTCCCCAGTTGAATTAACGGCTCTGTAAGAGCAATGTAATATATATAGAACTAAAGTCTTCCTTTAGCTTTCCAATTCCTGTCCCGTACGAATATCTGCTTGCCCGGATATTTTGTCCAGTTAATCAATGTCCTATCTTTGTGGGTCACAGATGTTTTATTTCCAAAGAGACTCTTGCAACCAAAAGTTTCATGTCGCTCGTGAAACTGGTCTACAATATTGATATTGATAAAGTGTAATCGTTTGTCTCACTATTCAGTCACTTAATGATGTAGATCGCGACGTTCCAACTGCGTACTTCAAGTGTTCATTAGATAAAAGCAAAACTTAAAGACCTTGCCTTGCTAGTCTTTGTCGACTGGTCGCATTCTTCTGAGCCCTGAGCCCTTTCCTCTGAGCCCTGATCCCAGTCATATTTTGGGCTTTGAGCCCTGAGCCCATATACCATGTTACGACCCTGATATGGGAGAAAGCTGATAGGCTCCCTCGTCCCTGTTCATAGTAGGAGGGGGAGAGGGCGTCTACAGAGCGACTTTGCACGTTTACTGTATCGCAATAATTAACACCTTCAGAAGCCTATACAAGATTTCTGACACTTTTAATGTTTTCCAAGTTTCGATAAAGATGGCTGACTGTCATCGCAACTGTCAGCATCATTAAGACGTTGAGACTGGCTATGTTTTGAGAACATTTAAATCGATGTTAACTTCACTAGCCCGATTAATTTCTTCAAGAAGACCAAGATCCGATTGGTCGATAAAATCGATATCAATCAAATCAGATTACTGGTTTTTATCGATAAATCGATACCAGTTTTTATCGATTGACTACTCCGGGCCAAGAGAGGATAAAGGGGAGCCCCTTTATCCTGTCCCAGTGTCACGCAGCTTCGAATGAGATCTGTAGTTCTAATAAATACATGCTAGGACTCTCCGGACGATCTTCCGCCATACGATACAAGTCTTACAATGTAATTTCAAATTTATCATATATCGTGTTTAGTTCCACTTTTTTCCACCCGAAGATGCCTTGCTGTTTGATCAATTGTGCGGTGTATTCTTTTTTTTTTTTTTTTCAGAAAGAACACTCTCACTGCTGGCCGAAAATGATCGACCATGACGAGCAACTATGACGGCAACTGTAGCCTAGCTGTCTGACAAACGCCCCCTCCACTCCATTCTCGGAGACCCAGAACATTCCCTGAGGGGAAGGAGGCGTCTTTACACTGACCTACCCGCTAAGGCAACAAAAAAGCGTCATTTATAAAAAAAAAAATCTCGATCTTTAATATTTTTCATAATTATTCCAAATCGCTGAATCTGTCACTGAGTTCAGACAAATTCTCCAGTCGAACACTTGGAATTACTTCTTCAGGTTCAGAAAGGAAATAAAATTTAGTCGAGGCAGTTTGAGCGCGGGAAACAAAAGGGTGTTTGCCTGGGCCCATTCCTTTTTGAATCAGTTTGAATGGTTGCTATTTATAGGAATGACTCAGCGCCATTCTATTACCGGTGTCCTGACGAAAGAATTCTTTAGAGCACTGGAGGTTCTGTTTGCTGGTCGAACGGAGTGTTGTGAAATCACAACAAGGTCTTAAACGTGAGTAGATTTGCAGATTACCGCAATCTGGCACTACTCACAATTAGTCTGGTGATTATTTCCGTGTTTGTGAGGAAAAGGCAAGATATGGACGTGAACCGTGCGGCTGTTCACGTTGTAGAGGATATCTAACCGTGACAAGTACGGGTTCTAATATTCTTAATTTGTAAATAACACGATTGGATAAGAGGATTTTAGAAAAAAAAGAAAAAGGAAGTCAACAAGTACTTTAAAGTGAAATCATTTGCACGCTTCTTTGTGTGTGCACAAAATGACGTCCTCTCAAGAAACGGGCTTCGGTGCGGCTGTTTTCGAAAATTTTGGACCTGTAGACTTTGTTGATGTCGACGCCTTCATCGATTCACAGTTTGATCGCGCCCTTGGCAGTGAAGAAGAAATATTTCACTCAAATCCTCATCTTAAAACTGAAGATGAAGACAGCAAAATAGCAGTTGAAAGAGAAGATGGATCGGGAAGCGATATTGCAATGGCGGCTACCTTAAAGAGCTTCGATTTCACGTACGGAAGCTACACTCAAATAGAGTTGGATGCTGGAGCAATTTTGCTATCGCCACAAGAAGAAGCAAAATATAGTGGACTTATTTGTTCTCGTTGTCGCGAAATTATGGACAAAGATGATTTTGAAGGCTGCTTTGCGTCCAGCAAAACAACAACAACACACGAAGCTACAAGCAACGGATGCGCGGGTGGTATTGCATTGAAAGGTACACAATATATGCTTACATTTTGGTTAAGTTTAAGTTAAGCTTAATTATTTGTGTTTGCTCATGTTTATTGTAGCATGCTTCAATATCAATGTCTGAAATGTATATGTTTTCACACACGGGCCGGGGAGATAGACGATACAAATTCAGCTGTGTTTTGATAGCTTTTTTCTGGTTTCCCTTCCTTATTTTTCGAAACTTTGATCTGATCAATCCGCAATGCAGATTGCTTTAAAGGGTTTTAAATATCACGTATTGTTCTCGTTTAAGTTTATTCAGCCAATATATTGTTCATAGTGTCGTTTCAATTTATGGTGATCTTTGATAACGGATCTCAACCTGTAAGCATTCCTTAAAATCGATTAAGACCATTAGATCAAGATGAAAAACAATTAAGTTAAAAAGTTGAATTTCCTTGTCATTAGCGATGGAATCAGAAACTGACTTGACCGCAGGTTTGTTTTCATTGGCTCATTAAAATATGATGTTTGGTCACTCAGGGTAACAGAGGTTGTTTACCACTGTGTTGTTTCACTGGAAAATTTTTTGGAGCAATATTGGAACGTTTAAACGGAAATTCATGTTTCATTAATTTTTTACTGCAGTCAAACCAGGTCAAGCATATCCCCAAGATTAATGTTGAAGACATCAATAGTTTGTCTCTGCATTCCTGAGGGGGGAGGGGTGGTATGCTTTACCCTGTAAAACCCATCTTTGATACTAGTTTCAGGCTCTCACAGCGGTTTTTGGTGATTGACACTGATTTCTGCAAATTATGGTGAACTTGATTTTTGAATGAAATTTTCTGGTCCTGAATTTTTTTGGCTATAATACTAATAAATGTCTTTATTGCTCATTATATATCTAATGTTACAGGATAAAAAGATTAGAAGTTCAGCTAAATTACAACAGAATAAAGAGTGGAACATACAGTCATGGACAAAAGTCTTGGGACACTTTTGCATGTCTGGGATGTTTTTCAATTCACACAGTTCCAACCCCTCCCCTCACCCCACAAACAGTGTTGGACCCATGTATCCAGATTTTTTTTCCAAGTTTCAACTTTGTATAGGGTGGGGGGAGGGAGAACTACAAGAAAATTTCGAAAAGGATGCACTGTTTTAAGACAGAACCGAGAACTATGACAGAAAAATATGAATATTGCAGTATTGTCCCAAGGACTTTTGTCCAGGATTGTAGCTTGATGTCAAGGTCATTCAGAAATAGGTTAAATAAGTAGGGGCTGCTCACACTACCCTGGGTTGTCCCCTTATTTACTCCTTTCCACTCGTGAAGGTGGTTGTTGTGGACTGTACGTTGTTGTCTGTTATAAAGAAAACTTTGATAACAGTTTATGATATAGGCATTGAGGAGCAGCAACTTTAGTTTGTTAGATAGTAGCTTGTGCCTGACTGAGTCGAACACTTTGCTGAAGTCCATTGCGAATACCCATACTGCCTCATTAACCTGAGATCAGGCTCTATTTTTGTTTTGCTTTGAAAATTACATTCCGGCTGGGCGGGCAAGGTGAAACGAAAAGAGGGCCTGATACAAACCTTCTACGAAATGTCTGCTGCCCACTTTTTTGATTGATTGACATTTACCGAATCAGCCAACCAACATTACTTCCGTTGCTTGTTTTTCTAGTATGCAAATTTTTCACGCGTGGGAAAAAAGCAGACTGGCTTTTATCTTTTAATTTTTTCACCTAAAAATAAAACAGTTAGCACAATCACATTTAACTTCTTGCGAGATTAAAGATTTATGTACTTAAAATCGGGGAAAATTGCCAAGGAAAATATTAAGGCAACAGAAAAATAGAAATTTCAGTATTTTAAACTCGAGCGCGCCTAGCCAAAATAAAACTAGTAGAACATCGTGTCGCTGTCTTTTCGAAAACATTTTACCTTCTATGCCAACAGAAATAACTTGCGAGATCTCCCGTAAAAACAAAAGCAAACAGCCAACGAGCGAGGACACCAGTTTTCCTTGTTTATTTTTTACAAAAAGCGAAGGAAAAAGCGTTACGGCCAAAATTTGGCCGTAATGAGCACAAACAAGAGAGAGTTTGTATCAGGCCCAATTTTAGCGGTAGCCGTTAGAGAGAATGTATGAGAACCGCTAAAATTGGGCCTGATCTCAGGTTACTGCCTCATAGTGTGGATTATCTAAGTGTTTGTTGATAAAGTGCTGGATCGATCGCTAACAGTGCACTAGTGCAATTTCCACTTTCATGGTAAGCAAATTGATCGAGTGGTGCTTAGATTTTCCTCCACAGCCTACTTCACAAAGGTGTTATAAACAGCTTTCTCAAACGCCCTGGCTGTAACTAGAGTGATATTTATGCTACGGTAGTCAGTTCCAAATGTGACTGAGAATTGGTGTTAAAATCTCATAAGTCCAAACCATGACTGGATGCTTTGCCCATGTGATTATTAGTGTGCATGAATGCATTGATTAATTTTTGTCCTTACTAAACCAGATATTCTGTTTCTTTGACAAAGTGGATTCAATAATCCATAATAGCCTGCGGGCAAGCTCTCCAGGACGCTCTGGCAACGGGGCAGGAAAAGGAAGGAGAGGTTCCATCTCTGGAATTTGAATTCTGCCTCGTTCCCCTCTGGCTCCCTGTTGACTGAGCTGTCAGATTTCTGCCAATCAGCACAAAGCAGAAACAAGCGTGAATGTAAACAAACATTGAAAAACACATGTAAGCATGCGCCAAGGGTAATGACGTCATCACTAATGTCTAATGTCATCTCCTCCAATCAGCATTTTGCATCAACTTTTTGATGCAAATAATTCAAATTCCTGAGATGTAGTTGCAAGCTCTCCTTCCTTTTTCTGGCTTGATTGTAACTATTTGTTTTTGCGCTAAAACTTACACTTAACAATGCGAAACTTGACTCAAAGTTTGAAAACACAGCAGGTTTTTGAGCACTAGGTTGTGATTTTTTTGTTAATTAATTATAAAAAAGCACCTTGAAATACTTTGAAAAATTCCGTCCTTATGAAGTCCTTGCAGCCATTTTTGTAACTGGTACTTTTGACTTTTGAGCCCCTTCTCAAAATTAAGGGTTGAAATATCACTCTTGCTAAGCCGGATTGGTGTAGAGGTTTTTTAGAAAGATTTTGATGCAATATATTTATGTCAGTCTTTAATGTTTACAACTGTGTTAAAATTTTTGTAAATTTCAATATATCGCTGTGTAACCGCTAACATGAAAGAGTGACCAAACCCTTGACAAGCCTAACCCAGGGGAGCTTTTGGAAGAGGGTGTAGGATAACTGTACCTAAACTAAAAGTGTAAACTTTGGATACATATATACATGTAATCAGAAGCATTTTCTTTACCATAGATCCCAAAAGAAGTAATACAGCTGCCAGCAGCAATACAAAACAATAGTATTTTTATTATTGCTTTCATTACATCCCTGTTTGACTACCCCTCTCACCTTTACTAGCTTCCCACAAGGACACCTCACAGTGCTCGACTTTCAGAAAAAAATCTTGGGGCCAACTGGCCCCCAAGTTTTCATTTTTGGTCGCCAGAACAAGTATTCTAGTCGCCAAAAATTATATTTAAGAACTAATGGGATAAAATAAACTTAACATCTTTAACTTAGCCTTAACAGAAAATGAATGGTTTAGACTTCCTTTGAACTTTCTTTCGAATGGTTTTCGCTGACGCTCGATTACCAGCTGGTGTTCTGTAAAATGAATCCGCACTGAAGCGTAAATCTCCTCAAACAGGTTTTTTAAGCTTAAGGTTCAGGAAATGGAATACACATTAAAAAAAAAAAAATTTAGGAATCACAAAAAAACTTTTTGGGTTATGAAAGAACAAAATCTGCAAAATTTGTTTTGCGTCCCATGTATTTGCATGTTCAGAACTGAACATCGGTGAAACTTCATCTATTGCGCGGTTGCCTAACACGTGATCGAAAGTCTCCAGAAAGACCAGAAAGAGGAAACGTTGCTAATGTTTTCGGGCAAAGAAGTTGATTTCGCGAGAAGTCTGTTAGACAAACAGCATGACTTCAACTTTACTTAATTAGAAGTCAATAAAATATGGCAGAGCCTTTATTTGTGTCGTCATGCTCAACAGAAATTTGCGTAAAGTTGTTTACAAGAATTGCGAAGCTTGAGAAGTAAGCACCGTTCGTTCTCGATTAGCTTCGATTAGCTTGAGCTTTTATCAGACTAATCTGTTATCGAGTCCGCAATCGAGATACATGTTCGACATAAAGAAATTGTTTTAAATATCGATGTGCTTAAAGTCATTCCCGGAGAAACACGAGACGATCTGTTGAGAATTGCGATCGATTTGTCCGAAAGTCGATTAAAGTCTTCCGTCGAATTCATTCATTTCACAATCCTCTTTCAAGTAAACGTAGATTAGAGTGTTGGAAGAAATCGTTAAAGCCTTTAGACAAATCGTTAAAACATTTAGACAAACCGTTAGAGCGTTTGGGCAAAACGTTAGAGCGTTAGAAAAACCGTTAGCTATCCGTTAGTTGTGTAAAGGATAACAAATTATCATTAGTGTACGTTTACCCAAAGAAGAAAGTCACCTATCTTGGGGGCCAGGTTGGCGACCAGGCGTGAAAATTTAGTCGCCACTGAGTAAAAGCTGGTCACATTGGCGACCCCACGGGTCGCAACGCCGAGCCCTGCCTCACCTTTACTACTTCCCACAAGGACACTTTAAGGACTTTGTCACACATTCCCCACCCAGGTTTTGCTCGACTGCATACTGTAGCTTTTGAAACTCCATTGCCAGCAGATGGAACCATTAGCATTTCCTGATGGCTGACAGAATGTCAACCTGTCAGCAGATGTCATATTTCCAGTGGAGACATTAACCCTTTAAGTCCCAAAAGTGACGAGGATCAATTTTCATCTAACAATATCAATACACAATCAAAAGAAAAGGTTGTAGAGAATTAATTAAATAATCACCTAAGAGAAAATGCTTTAATCCTCTACCAAATTCTTTCAACTTATTTTTCATAGGCCTGTAGAGAGATCAGTTTTGAGAATTATTTTGTATGTGGATATTGGGACTTAAACGGTTAAGGAATACTATCAGTTGTTTTGTGGTGTGCAGTATCTGACATGATTTGTATTTGCTCATTTTTCAGACAACAAAATATTCCTCACCAGTATTTTAGACATTAAGAAACTCTGCAGTTCTATAAAACTCCAAAGAATAATTATTTATGGTAACCTTCTTTTTCATTTATTTTAGAGACATTGCCTGATCCAAGAAATGTGGTGGTTACAGAACTGCAGCTATCTGACATCAGTGATGATGTAGGGACTTGCTGGCGTGAAGTTGGACCAAAGTTACTCATCAAAGCATCAAAGATTCACAACCTTGATGATGAGTACAAGAGTAATCGAGACAAGGCAAATGCTCTTCTAAACTTGTGGAAACAACAGGAGGGAAGTAATGCTACAGTTGGCCGTCTAGCTGATGTTTTGGAGAAGATAGGAAGAAGGAGCATTGCTGAAAAACTGCTTGGTGGGTGAATGAAGTAGTTATGTAGTAATATTGAAAGAACATATGATTCTTGTCAGTATTCAGGGCTCCCAACTTTTGCTCCTGGGTGACTAGAAAATGTTAGGTTTTTCATACAAATAATTTGTAATTATTATTACATGCTGGACACCCAAGGTTTCACAGGTTGAGAGAACTGGGCTCCCTTTAATTTTTCTTAGGGAACAGCCTTGGTATTAACCAGGGAGGAGGGGTGGGAGGGGGGTACTCCCTTTGATGTCCCATGCAGGGAGACTTTGCCTAAAAGGGGTACCTTTTCCAGGCTTCAGGTTATGAAAGGGCAGGCCGAGGGGATTTCACTAGTTGAGATTAATGAAACAGTAGGAGAATCTGTCATTGCAATCTGCAGCTGTGAAAGGACCTAAAAAATCTAAGTGGCATATTTTATGGCTGTGAAAAAGATGAGAAAAGTTTCTGGTTTATACAATATGTAATTTACTCATATCTACAATGTAAGAAACACCCGTACAAAACTTGCAGCGCTGTACAGCAGCGCCACAAAATCGCTTCAAAATAGCTGTACAGCTAAATTACAGCAGCACTTTAGAAGCCAAACAGTAGCTTCATTCAAGTTGCAATGTTTGCAGCGCAGTTGCAAAATGAGACTGTTGAAGATTTGTTATATGTCATCCCTTGTAGAATCAGACACTATGTAGAATCTATGCAAATGCTATGTCACAAAGCTATGTAAAACCTATGTTAATGAGTCATACATTCCTTTCACCAGACCCTATGTTGTTTCTATGCCAGGACTATGTTTTTTGTATCGAAAATGCTATGTTTTCGCTAGTCAAACGGAACCTACTTAAAAGCTATGCAGTTTTTAAAGGAAGGAATAAAGGCAGAAATGACATAGTTTCCACATAGCCTATACATACAATTTACTTAGCTTTCAGAAAGAGATTTTAGACTTCATAGTCAACCTCATAGAAAAATCATAGGAAATAAATAGCCTTCACATAGGACTGAAATAGAGTTTACATAGTAAAATGGAACAGGGGCCAGTTGATTAAATAGCTTTTGAATAGGGTTTGCTTAGAATTCAGATAGCCTAGGAATAGTGAAAACATAGCCTTTTTTAAAGATGACATATACTTTGCATAGCATTAAAATAGGGAAAACACAGAACAAATAGTCTTTGCATAGGTTTGAAATAGGATTTTAATAGTATTTGAGTAGGTAAAACATATCACATACATAGCCTTTAATTAGAGTTCAAACAGAAATTACATAGAATTGACATAGTCTTTTATGTTGGTAGGTTTTGATCTGCTTAAGCAAATGTAGTGTTTAAAATACCCTCGTAAAAATCACCAGAATAGTAAAAATAGTATACACATATGAATTAGAATATCTTTTACATTGGTAAGAAATGGGTTTTGACACGAAAAATTGAAAACTATAGCAATATAATACCACGAACACGCAACACAAATGCAGTATTTTCATGGAGCAGTTTCAGAATCGAAACCCCAAGTTAAAGTTTGCTTAATTTGCTTATCGTGTAGACTTTTGGCTGATGTCGTGCTCTTCAGTGCCATACACTTTTCCTTTGACTGCAACGAATAAGTATCTGCAAACAGAGAGTTGAGATTTTAAGGCAAATGAACACAAAAACAACCTGACGTTTTAGAATTGAAACGAACGAGTATCGAAGCGTGATCGAAGGTGACCGATCCAACTTGTTCAGGTACGCGAAAAGGGGAGACAACACGGGTAAATCGAAACTCAAATTGAGAAAAACATCACTTACCAACGTTAGGAATACTTTTTGTTGAACCTGGCAGGAAAACGACTTTAAATTGAAGTAAAAAGAAGCGTCTTCTTGTAAAAACGCACGCTTTACAGTTCGTCTTCTTTGACTTGAAAGTGCCCGCGTGGAATCAGCCAATTTTCACACCTTTTCATTGGTTGAAAAGGCCCATGTGACGATAAAGCGCTAAATACGCATGTGTTGAACTCACGGGCTTCCCTGGGAACTAGTGGAAACAAAATGGCTGACAAACACCGAGGACTGCAACAAGCGTTTCGCAGTTTTGACCATGAATTCAGGAGTCGTCCATAATCAAGACGAAGGATCGAAGCTAATATAAAAGGAGAAAATGATGCATGGAGGTATCATTTCAAGCGAAGAAACTCTAGGGAAATAAAAGCTAGAAAGGAAAGTTAAGTCAGGAATGATGGATGTAGCGATTCAATGCTTTACAAAAATCTTCTCACTAAGAAACTATCTGCAAGCACAAAAAAAATTGTAGTAAATGATTTTTAAGTTTTTTAGTGTTAAACACTGCTTTTTACGTTGGAAGTATGCTTTTTGTAAGCGCTATTTAACCTGTACAATCAACATGCCTAGTATTTTAAAAGGTATGTTGAAATATCACATAGGAAACGCATAGTAAGACTACATATTTGTCATGAGTGAAAATATAAGAAAAATTACGTTTATGTAAAAGCTATGTAACCTTTATCTCATGATAAAGCTAAATTAAAATGTCACATAGTGAAAACATAGGCTGCAAATATGTTTCATCACTTAGCATAGAATATACATAGCACTATGTAAAAGCTAGGAAACTTGTTGGAAATAAAATTGAAGATCGAGATGCTATGTAAAAGCTATTTTGCTTTGTTGCATAGTAAATACATAGGATGCAAATCAGAAGGAAAAGCAGAACTTTCTATTGCATAGTAAATACATAGCTATGTAAAGACTATGAAAAGATTTTGAATAGTATTTGCATAGGTATTAAAAAGCTATGTACTTTTCAAATAGCCTAAACATAGTTTCAACATAGATTTTGCATACTTTGGACTATGTAGTGTGGTATGCTACATAGTTGATACATAGGCAGTAGTGAACATAACATAGCTGAAACATAGTCCAACATAGTAAACAAATAGCATGAGCATAGGTTTTGCATATGTCTGGTTCTACAAGGGATGTGCTTTTGTAATGTGTGCGCGTTAACAAAGTACAAGGTGCATTTTGACTTTCCAGTGGTTTTTACTCAGCTACTAAGGCCTTGTCTACTCCTCTACTATGTATCATGATTATTGTATTATTGGAGCCTGCATTTCTTTTTTTTGTAGTAACAAGTGGTAGGCCATTACTGGTAACAACATTCTTTGTCTTTTCGAAGCCACTTTGGAATTTTCTGCACCGCTGCAAAATTGCTGTTTATCACTGTCAAAGGGCTTTCCACTCAGCCAAAATTTGTGACTGCTGAAGCCAGCGCTTTTTTTAATTACAGCTCTTTTGTAGCGCTTCTTGAAGCCATTCTGCAGCGCTACAGCAGCGCTGCTCGTTTCACACGGGCAGTGCATTTATAGCAGTTAAAAGGGATGAAAGTGTGAAAGGGGTACCTGTGTGCTGTACCTTGTTGAAGTGATGTTAATGCAACTGTCGCTGTTGTGGTACCTTAAACTCTGTAAAATCATTGAGATCCAGAAATTTTGCGACCATGGTACAGTCGACTCCCATTATTGCAGACACCCTCTGGACTGTGGTTTAGTGTCCGTAATAGTGAGAGTCCGTAGTAATGGGGTGGGAGAAAAAAATTCTTGATATTAAAGGAAATACATTTATTTATGTTGTACATTGTCTCCAAAACCAATTACAGTGCAGTTTTTGCATATAAAGAGTGTCAGAACTTTATTTACAAACAAGACAAATCGTAATGGAACAAAACTTACATCTTCCTTTCATTCACCACAACAGTCATTGAAAAATTTGTTGTACACAAAAAGTATAAAGTACGGTACTAGAAAATTCAATTTATGTACATTAAGTACATCATGACTGCAATTTTTTGTAAGTAAGTACAATAGTTTCATAGAAGGATAAGTTAAAAGGAAATTGAAATGTTCATTTCTCAACCAAAGTGACACTGAGATGAAGATAACTCTGCCAAAATGTTGAAAGGGGCTTATTGATGTCTGTCACTGTTGAAACTAAGAGAGGTGTCCGTAAGTCCATAATAGCGGGAGGTTATTTCAGTTAAAATATCTGTAATTTTCACTAGGGATTCAGCAACTGTCCGTATTACCTGGGTGTCCGTAATAGCAAGGTGTCCACAAGGCTAGGCAAGAGTTGACTGTAACTTACCAAACTTACACTTTCTCCTTAATTGAAACCATTTTAATTTGCATTTCCTTTTGATGGGGTACAAGAGTTCATATAGGGGGTCCAATTCTATTTTCAGATACATGGGATTAAGAAAGTTCATTCTTGAACTTCTTTCATTTTTAATTGTAATGTTTTCTTTCTTTTTTTAGGCAAAGGTTTATTGCCAACATGTGAAAAAGTTTCTGATGGTGAAGAGATTGGTTTAACAGTGAAGTGCAGCTTAGAGACAGAATCAGATGGGAAGGTAATATTAAAAATTCGCCCCTGATTGAACTGCCAGTGAAGATCTGTTTTCTATGTATGGCTTGTGACGGAGTTTGACTTAGAGCTGTAGTGGTCACGTGTTGTGGTTCATGGGTTGGATTTCACGGGTCCATTTTAAGATGTAATTTTAACTTTACAAGGCAATGTTTTAGCCAGAAGGGTGTCCAGCCATCCCATGGATGCCCATTTTTGGAAGAAATACAAAGAAAATTTTTCACTTAAATAATAATATTTTAATGTTATGGGAAAACATGCCTTCCGGATGGCCAGTTTTCAATGTCTAAAAGCCGATTTCATGGTTTTGTGAAATACTCAGTTTAATCTGTGTGAGGCACTTTTCACTAATTTTGTTAGCTACCAGCTGACTTCCATCTGCCCCCGCAACATGTGACCATTAGTCAAACTCCATGTGACATCATCAGTTTTAATTGTCAAGGGCAACCTTAGCTTGCTATCTAACATGTGCAAGGGTAAGAGATCTTTCAAACCACACCAGAATAATGAACATGATTCTCTGATTAGATATTTGTCAAAATGAAAGAATCCAATCATTTACTGTTTTTGTGGATAAGATACCCAAAAATTCCGAAAATTAGCCCCGGGGCTTACATATTTCAAAGATCCTTTTTGAGGGGCTTATTTTTGGAGGGGCGTATATTCGGAGAGGCTTATCTATGGAGGGATATTTGCGTTTCAAAATCGATTGGGCTAGCCTTATAGTTGGAAGGAAATTTACAGTTTTTGCTTTGTTTTACTTTGTATTTGAGGGCAATTTCCAAGTACAAGCCCCCCGGGGCCTTATATTTGGAGGGGCGATATAACGGAGGATTTTTTGCGTTATGAGTTTGAGGGGCTTATATTTGGAGGGGCTTATACATGGAGGGGCTTATTTTCGGAATTTTACGGTATTTTTTTTAAAGGCCCTCTCATAGGGTGCGATAAAAAATCATAAATTATATGGCATTTTCAGGGCAGATTGAAAGGAGAAAAATCACTTTAAAGTTAAACTTTAACAGGCAATTTGAATGTAAAAGAATAATAAAACATCTATTTTAAAACCAAACAGTTAAATTTGTTTAATTTATATCTTGACCCGGAAAAGAAAACAAATAGAAAGAAAGAAAAAGGACACTTGTGTAATGTTACGCGATGCGGTTACACAGCTGACCACACTGCTTGTCTCTGAAATCAAAATGGCTGCCCAGATACCAAGATCGAAGTTTTCAGATGTCTTGCAAGGCTTTCTTTAGTGGTAAATCACCTTTACATAACATTAAGATTGGGAAAATGTTTGATTAAAGTTTGCTTTACTTGACTTTAGCATTTTTTTTACGAATTATGTGATTTTCCTCAAATATTGTGATCAGATGCAATTTGAGGCCAAATGTGCAAAATAGCACCATCACATAATAATTATCAGAAGGCCTGATATACCGTACTCGTGTAATAATTATTTTTTACTTTCTGTACAGCTTATGTTGTGTGAGGATACTTGTGGAACTAAATTCCTTGTCAAAGCTATTAACAACTGTGATAGACCCTGGAATTCTGAAGAGGTAAATATGTTTTTTTTTTTCACATGAGAGTTGCCATTTTCATTATAATAAGGAGGCAGCATGGGGAGCAAGGGATGGCACAGTGGTGAGAGCACTTGCCTCCCACCAATGTGGCTCTGGTTCAAATCCCAGCATCAATGCCATTTTGATATACAGGGTTGAGTTTGTTGTTGGTTCTCTCCGTTGCTCCAAGACGTTTTTCTCCAGGTACTATGGTTTTCCCCTCTCCTTAAAAACAAACATTTCCAAATTCCAATCTAACCAGGAATCAGGTAGATGAAGAAGTACCACTTTGTGGATGTGCTACCTTTAAATCAGGGGCAGCGCACTTGCCTTTAAGCAAATATAATTTAATAAGCTCGACAGGCTTACAAGTGATTCGGACAGTATGATAATATATTTTTTAAAAAGAGATGTACTGGCAAAGAGCAGTGTATTTCCCTTTGGTCGATCATTCTGCCACAACAGAATCATTTCTTAGTACAATAAATTATCTTGTTCCAGCTTTCAACAGCGGAGTACAAGATACATGTACATGTACATTGTATAAGCTATGTATAAGCTTTATATATGAAACCTACAAAACCGATCTTTCAGAGCAGAGAGACTTTGACAATGAAATTTTAAGGTGGCAAACAAAGTGGTCTCATTTAACTGATAAAAAACCAGTGACCCTCACAGAGACACTTCATTAATCCAGACCTTTATCCCAACGTGGTCACAATTACTACCATCCTCCTGACAATGCCAGTGTCAACTGCTACCCCTAAATGATCTTTTTGCACCATGTGCAGAGTGAACACGTACTTACGTTCCACGATGAAAGCAGAGTGACTCACAGCACTTGCCCTGATGCATGCTTACAGAGACATACCCATTGATGTAGAAGCCGTGATAGTTGGCAAATGTCGCTGGCTGCCAGCTCTTATTGAAAACCCTATAATAGGTCTCTCATGGTAAGATAAGAAGGAGAGGACAGAGAGAGACCTCTGCCAGGCCTCCGATGCATTTTCTATCATGCATATATTAGCATTTCCATAACAACCAGTTGAGTACTGAAGGATTTAGTCACGTGACACAACTTACAGAACAAGTTTGCACATCAATAAGCATGCATGAGCTCAGAAATTTCTAATGACAACACCAAGCCTTACTGGATTTCAAAACTGGTTTTGTTTAATGAGGAATACACGCGCCCTATTGAGACTGTAGGCTGGCTACATGAAAGAATGCATCAGAGCCTCACTCTCTTTACTATCATTTTTCTCTGGCTGTGAGAGATCTCTGCTAGCAGGGATTAACTTCAATGATATTACAACAGCAATTTCCTTAATAATTATTATTACGTATCAAAAACTCGTTCCAGTTTTTGTGGTCTTTACAGCAAGGAACCCAAAACTGTGACCTCCTTTAATTAATTCACATTCTTTCATGCAGACATTAACCAATCAGAAGTCGAGGACAGTTTCCAGCTGGCATCTGATTGGATAATAAATCTACACGAAAGAATTAATGCAAATAAATCAAAAGCGGTCACACTTTTGGGGTTCTTGCTGTAATGGTGGCCACAATAACAGGTTTAATCCAAATTTCATGAATTATTTTGCATCTTTGGGGATTTTTATGCGTCAGGGGCGCAGGATGCAGAGATAAGAAAATCACTGGGCTTAATAGGGTTTTCACAATTCTTTTTTATGATTGTTTTGAATGGTTAATGGAGAGTGGCCTCTTAGTAGGTAGCCACTTATTAATGGTGGTTCAATTTACTGTACTCTGTATTTTGTCTTGTAGGTACAGAAGAATAAGGAGTTTCTTGAGAAAGTAGCAGCAGCGGCCAAAGAAATGGGCAAAACAGTGGAGCAGAGACGTCAAGAAAGCTTGAAGCGCATTTCTTCAGAGGTTCAAGAACTAAGACAGCAGCTGAAAAGAGTAAAATTGGATTCCAGTGATGCAGAAAGTTGTGCTGGCAGCGGTTACTTTAAACAGATCACACAACCACTGAAAAATGATCAGAATGATGTAAAAATGTCTTCCCAAGACGTAACACACTTGTTACATTCATGCGAGGAACAGCACACATTCTGTCAAAGTATTTATAATGCTCTTATTCAGCTGATTGGAGAGGTTGCTCCACTGGGAGAAGACAACTTCATGTGTATTATGCAACTTTATGACTTCACAAAAGAATTGAAAGAACAGGAAAAAACATTTTTACCCAAAATTGAAGTCCTTCGCAATCTAAAGGAACAGTTAAATAGCTTGCAAGTCGCTCATTTGGAAGAATTAGAAAAGTGGAGTAGAGCACAAAAAGAGCAAGTCCAAGGAGTTGAAAAGCTGCTATTAAGCTTGCTTCATCAGGGGAAATCTCAAGTAAGGTGGATTTATGAAGATATTTTTAAGAAATCTAGTCAATTAGAAATTTTTCAGAATTTTTTAAGAAATCTAGCCATTCTGTTTTATTGATGACATTTGTAGTTCATTATTAATAACCTTTTTGTGAGTGACCTCAAAGTTACAAATTTATTATATTTTGCTCTTAATTTATTTCTTTATTTCCTACATGTAGGTGCTCTTTGTACTCTTTTTGAGTGCAGCTGAGTGTAATACTTTGGTTGAGGGTCATGTATAGTTTGAAGGAACACTAACCCACACAAAGTCCACAAAGCTTAACTAAATGCTTGTCCAATTTCTTTGATTGACACACAATTCATACATAACCCATTGATAAGGCCAGTTCTTTATTAAGTTTCCATAGCAACATGCAAACGACTGGTCCTAATAACAATGCTTGGTCTTGATTGAGTGTCCATAGCAACCAACAGATAATCCACTGATTAAAAGGCTGGATCTAATGTAGTTTCCAGAGCAACATGTAACCCACAGGGAACCAACCTACATTTTGCAATGCCACCACTGGTTTTCCCGTGAAATGACGTCTGAGAAACGAGCGCAAAAAATTCCATTCTGATGACATGTCACTACCCAGATCTGGGTAGTGCTTCTGATTGGCTGAAGTGAAGCAAATTTCCCACGCCGCACGACCAATCAAAAGCACTATCCAGACTGGGTAGTGTTGTGTAATCAGTATGATATTTCAGCGCCCGTTTCTCAGGCGTCTGCTCACATGGCATAGAACGAATTTTCGACTGATTGAAAATTCGTATTTTCTTGTGCTGTTCACGCGGAACCACACCAACTGTGCGAAAATTTAGATGCTAGTCGTCGAAGTCGAGGTCGAACTGTTGACTGATAGGGTAGAAAACTTGTCTGGCAAGGCGAGAACACCATAACCAGCTAAATTTTGTACCTTTTGTACGGCAAAGGTGTGGTTGCGCGGATGCGTGGTGAACTCAGCTGGGCCACTTTAAATATGCTTGAGTAGTGCTTTGCGTATGGGCAGATGGTAGAACCACTCAAAAAAGTAAAAATTCAACCTGATTCTTTATGTCCATGTTCATCTGGTGTCGTGTGAAACGTAGCCTTTGATTTTGTTTTACTCAATTTCAGAAAATTTTAAAGCGAAGATCAGTGCCTGTCATTGGTGCAAAACCACCGCTTGTAAGAAGGGTAAGTAACCATAGTAACGCAGTTACCATAGTAATCGTATTAATTACTTTAAGAACTGTCTTGCTTTTCCGAGCAGGCAGCTGTTAGATTTCCCGTACATGTATAATTTATAGTATTCTCTTTCAGGGATAGTAAAGGAGGAATCTCGATTTGCGCACCGTCAGCGCGATGTGGGTATTGGGAGGTGTAGTAACACGATAACGCCAAGTGTACATGGAAGCGGGGAGCCGACTAGTTACATTTTTATTACTAAGAAATTGCCTAGGTGTATTTTGACAGGTTCTCTATCACAAAGTAGACCTTCTTATTATTTGGGCGTCACCCTAATAGAGTAATTGAGTTCGCTTGTTTTGATTCAAAGTTGAAATAGACACGCAGTACGTGCGAACGTAAACGAGCCAAGTGAACAAGCCAAGCGACGCGAGTGTCTGCCGCTGTGTCACAACACAGCATTTATCTTCGTTGCATACGACCCACAGATAACGCACGGCAAACAAATCGACAAGGTACACTGAGTCAAACAAACTATTAATAATTTAAATTTCCCCTTTGGAAAGTAATCGTCCTCGCAGCACACGGTATGAATGGTTATTGCCAAGAGTTGGACGATATTTTTGCTCTCAGTTCTCGAGCGCCATTCCATGATCTCGTGCACGAGATTATTAAGGGTAACATAGACTGATGCATAATTTCATTGCATATTTTCGGAAAGGAGGTGGTTTCTTTCAATGTTATTGAGCAAAATGGCCTTGTAAACAAGTTGCATTCTTTCACGGTCGAACAGTATAAGGGGCGGAGTCCAACATCTTCACGTGCAAACCGCGTTCTATTTTTAAAACCCTTGGGTTAATTAGATCAAGTCGTATTTCCTCATACACGAACCGCGAAAGTTGCCAATTCCATAGCTTTCACGTGCAAACTGCGTGACAATACAACTCACTGTAAGGGCCTAATCACATGAGCCGGGGAAGCAATGCGCATGAACAGTGTCCTACTGTCCTGTTACTCGCTTGGTTCATTCGCCGGTCCGCCCGGCTGCCCGGCAAGCGTTATTTTCTGGAAAATTTCCTCCCGGGATCCCGGCATCGCAATACTGGGATCCAAGCTAACCAGGCTGGCTCGGTTGTCATATAATCGCGAAGTTGATTTTTGTTGCATTGAACTAAGGTGCTGGTATCTCTGCAAAGCGAGCCAGCCCGGCTCATGTAATCAGGCCCTTAGTTCTATAGCTAGATTTTACACCCTACCCTTGACTTCACCGATTTTTTAAAGCCCCCGAGCACACACAAAAAAATTTCAGCCGCCCCTCCACCAAAATCTTCATACCCCCTTCTCTATATTAAATGAAATTTTGGCCTTATCCATGTTCTCTTCATACAAATTTATTCGAAAATAAGCGAAAAACAGTCCTAAACAGGAAGACCAACATCGTTTAAAATAAGTACAAGTATGTTTTCGACTATTAATAAGATCTTTCACAACTACCACTTCATTTAAACACACTGTAACTACACTATCCCTTCATAACCAAATTAGCACTTCCACAACTACCTCACTGCAACACCTGAAATCACTTTTACCCCCCAAAATAAATATTTTTTACTTCGTATTCAATTCGACGAGAAACAAGTTTCATTGATTAACAAACTGCAGCCATTATCTTACCAATTCACGTCCAGTATAACTCCACGCCTTCCACTTCACGCATCTCAACCAACCCCTAAAATATACAACGCTACTGCACTACTCAGTTATACCTAATACACTTAAAAAGCCTCACACACAAACTCTGGTGGGGCTTAGGCTTCGCTTTCATGCTCACGTCGCAAGTGTGTAAGGGTTTGAGGTCAGTCATAGCAAGGAGAAATTCTAAATAAAAAAAATTGTTTGTTCATTTGTTCACTCATTCATTTAATCAGTTAATAAATGAATGGATCAATCAATCAATCGTTCTTTTTCTTTCCAGAGGACTAAAACTGACTCATCAAAGAGTGCTAGCAAGTCACAAAGCCTCAGTGAGCTCCCAGGTGCTGATAAAAAGTTTGTCATATCAGGACCAGTGTGTGTTCAGCAGCTGCATTGTTTGGACTCAGACAAGAAACTCAACAATAAAAAGGTTTGTATTTCATCGTCATTGTAAGCACTCTATCAAGTTTTCCAACCAGCGTAGCATGCATGCACCACTTCAGAGAACTTTGAGCTTCTACTGTGGCCTGTTCACAGACCCTCTATTTTCTCGTCAAGTGCTTGTGATAAAAAATGAAAACCGCGGGGGATTATTGACCGCCAAATATAAAAAACGTCCGACTAGCCCTACGGAATTTCACGAAAGTTATTTTAAGACGTAGACACTAAAAATCATTCGGAAGTTGAAATGGTTTCCAGAGAGGTCCGTAAACTTTTATTCAGTTTTTGTCGAGAGAGAATTTAATAGTCGCCATTACAATACTTATTCTACATTGTTTGCTGTGAGTTATATAGTCGCACATGGACTTGATAACGTTCAAAAGAATCATTTAAAATGTGCGAACGTCTCAGGAATAATTACAACCTCCAAAAATAACTTTAGTGAAATTCACATATCCCATAAGACATTGACTTTTTGGTTGAAGTAAAGGTCTGAGTGGGATCTTCTTACCAGGGTTTAGCCCCCGGGGGTGCATCCTATGATGGTCTATACAGGGAAGCTCCGCCGTAAAGGGGTACCTTTTTAAGGCTTCAGGTATATGAAAGTTAAGGGGTTTCGCTTTTTGAAGTATATGAAAAATAAAAAATAATAACAAATTTTAAAAAATGTGTATGAAAGTGTAGGGAAATTTGTAATTTTGGTCTGTAAAAAGGTCCAGAAGGGCTAACAGATTTATTTTATGACTAAGAAGAAGTCGAGATAACGTTCTGGGTTTGTGATTTATTCATGTTAAGGGACAATGCTTTTACAGCAGTTGAAAGGGATGCAAATTTCTCAAACTGGGTTTGTGAAAGGGGTACCATTTGTCAATAAAAAAGGTACATAGAAAAAAAATAAGGAAATCGCATTGAGATTTGTTGATCATGTTTTTCTCCTCAGCCACGTAGCCAAGTATGAGTTTTGATAATTCAAAACTAGCTTATTAGCGAATCTAATAAAAAATAAATAGACAAAGTACACATTTTAAATGTAAGATTTTTTAGCAAGCACTTACCAGTGTATAAAACCAAGTGCATGGCCTTGTGCACACTTGTATGAAGACGACTGTCTCTACGTTTCACTCCTAGCTACTCCTCCTGAGACTTAACTTTTCCCATAGAAAGGCCTGAAAATAACTGAAACTTTCCCCCAATTAAGCGTTAACGTTGAATGATGGCGTATTTTCCTCTTTTCTAGTCTTAGAATTCAAGCTACATTGTTGGAGTCATATGACATCGCAGGCAGTTAACCTCCCAGCTAGCAGTGCGAAAAAGGTGAGGCCGACAGAGAAGTCTGTCAAAAAGGTGTTGTTCGCCAGGTTTTTAACACTGAGGCAATGTTGGAAAAGCCGGAGGCGAGTCTTTTTAACAGAGTTGTGATGGCCGTTCGTGGTAGAACAGTTTTTTGAAGACAGGAAACCGTAGATAATTTAATAGATGATGTAAATATATGTAAATATTTGTTTAAGTACTGTCTTGTTTTGGCCATAGAGATACAGATTACTGTTCAGCTCTGTGAAGAACGCTCTAATTGAACGACGTCTATAAGCTTAGTGGCTTTTAAGCTCAATTTCCAGCCGGTTTGTGTGCCCTTGCTCTTTCGCTTATGTTGTGAGAAGGATGCGAACCAGACTCCCTGAAACGACTGAAAACGGAGCTCACTTCTTTTGTTTTCGTAGCCCTTTTTGTCGGGTCAACGCGAAACTGATAGATTTGAGAACTGAATTTGTTGTCGTCTGACTTGTTGGCCAAATACGCCTGTTTTATGCGAATCTTTGCTGACGTCATTGTTTACATTTTTCCTCAATAGCATACGGCTCAAGTCATAGAAACCGTGGTGATATACGAACTAAATTCAAAAGTTTAAAGAGCTGATTACCTTGAACAATTTGTGCAATTTTCAGCTCTTTGTAAGCAATATTGAAGGAAATACCAGGCATCAAAAACTGCGAAATTTCCAGGTGGCAAAGAAAGTTGATGAGCCATACATTCTTTGTAGGATCTAGAGTTTTTTACAGAGAATTTCTCCGAACGTTTTTTGTATATTGGCCCCAAATTTTCAGAGATGACTGAAATTGTATTGTTGATAATGATAAGCACGTGTTAATGAGGCAATAAATGTAAACAAAGATTCGACTAAACTTATTATTTTGTAATCGGCGACATACACACTCAATCAACAAATTGCATGCTCTGTCGAGCGTATTAACCGTAAAAAAGGGGCAGAACAAAGTTCAGTCCTGTTACCTCAATGACCATTTGGTAAATTTTAATACTAAATTATTAATCTAAGCGAATCTGAAATTTTTCATTATCGATTTGATTAATATATCGGGAATGACAGTTTGCTTTAATTAATTTTTGATAACAGCTGTAGTCTTTGACTACTGAAAATGAATAAACAGGTAAACATGAGCTCACCGTTAGTTATCCGTAGTCACGGACTAGTACGAATTCCTACTAGGTTGGATTCCCGCTGCTTTCTCGGCTCCTGGCACCGTTTCTCGAAAGGCCCGTAACTATTCCGGCCCGGAGGCAAATTTTGAAATCAAAACTTGTTAATAGTATCGCAGTTCCCGGCTCACAATCCGGTCAATTTTGCATCGTTAACTGATAGTTTCATTGGATCATTTTCAAAATCTTTGAAATTTTGATCTTGAATGTAAACACAGCAAACATAAAACAACTTTCGGGCCCGAAAAGTTACCGGGACTTTCCCTGCCAGATATCGTTCCTCCGAAAGGAGCGCTGGCTCATTTCCCGTAGAGCGTTTTTTTTTAGAGACGAGAACAATATTTTTGTTTGAAGCCTATTTCATCTCGATGCGAACATATTTTAGTGTGCAAAAAGCTAGGCGTTGTCTAGATGTGGAGTAATTTACATTGAATTGTATTCAGTAATTTTCGAAACCGGAAGTGTTTTAAAAAGATACATTTCATGTCAGACATTTTTTTACCGACTGTTTATCAATATGGAGTAAGTTTGTTAAAGATGAAACCGTAGTTTGTTTCAAAGACTTATTGGTTGCAAAATTGAGTGTCTACAGCCCTTCAATATGCCTTGTCTTGTCAAATATATAAAACGTTTAGTCTCGAACAATAATTATTTAGCAGGATGATGAACTTCCTTGATTGTTAATTTTAGGATGGTGAATTAACGCAAGGGAACATTCATTAGTAAAGAATGAAGGGCATTTCAACAACATGCGCTGGTATTTTCATTTGGGTTATAGCTGGTCTGTCCCATTTTAAAACCAAACCAGTGTATGCTGTGTAATCCACGATAATTACAATACATTTGTTTATTTTCCGTGTTTATTTACAAATCTTATCTCTTGTAACGTGGTCGTATAAAATGTCAAACATGCTTTTCTTATTATTATATTTATTTTTTTCTAACGTGCTTTTTTGTGTGATATTTCAGTCCGTGTGCTTTTTAAAAGTGAAATGTAGGAATTGTTTTGTTCATTTTTATGTAGCTGTTTCCATCACCTGTTTTAGTATTGTATTAAACTCAATTCAGTGTACTCGGGGTTCCAGATAATTTATCTCGGTTCCGCGGCGGTAAACGCGCTTAAACGCAGTTCTGCAGGTAACCTCCTACCTAAATGACCTCTTGGCTCGTCAGGTCAAAATGAAGGAACGCGTGAAAAAACTCAAAGAAGGTCTGCGTGGAAGACTACCCTGCAGAAGCAAAGCTCGGAGGTGTCTCAACTTACAAGCCAATCAGGGCGGGTAGGAGAGAACCCTGGGAACGAGGTTGCTTACAAGCCACTGGTACCAGAGGAATAGCGCTTCTCACAGATTCTAATTATAGTTTACGTCAGATGAGACCCCCCGTTAGCAGGAACGCGTGACGAACCCCTAAGAACGTCTGCGTGGGAGGCAGTGTGTTACCCGCTGTCCTGTCTCTCGCTTGGTTCATTCGCCGGACGCCCGGTAATCGTGATTACTTGGAAAATTTCCACCCGGGATCTCGGCATCACAATACTGGGATGCCAGCTAACCGGGCTGGCTCGGTTGAGTTGCAAGGACTTTCGAAAGGGAACAGCTAGCCCTTACAACAAACAACTTTTTCTGACTCACTGGTGGTTTAATCACTTTCACCTACTAGTTTACAATTCTCTATCTGGTTAATTAGTGTTTCACCCATTTTTATACCGGCCAGAAAACCATCTGCTTAGTGTAAACTAATGCTGACGTAAGTCTAATCTGATTGGTTGAGACAGCCTTGCTAGCATGAAACCTTCGAGATAATCATTTTGTAAAAACCTAAGTTTTCATTAAGCTTAGGTCAACTAGCCAATACAAAACAAGGAGAACAATATAAAAACTGCAAAGTAGCTGGTCATACTCAAACTTTTCATAACAACAGATAAGAAAGTACTAAAACTACAGTTTGCAAATCTTAGGTTGTCGTCGATTTACAAAAGGTGTTAAGCTTTTTCATTGAAAATGATTGGCTAAAACTTTTCCATAAATTAACCACGGACTTGATCGTAAAACTCAGAGGATAAATTAAAAATGCAGTTCAAAGTGCAAGGCAGAATTTAGAACAATAGTTGTTTACCCGCAAAAACACGTATAAAATCACTTAAATCTAATTACAGTTATCCACTGCCATGAAGTCGGTTAAAACCTCAAGGAAACACACCTAAAAATGTTAAAAACAAGCATGGTAAATATCGATGGAAGACCAGATTAAGGTCAAAAAATGTTAAACTGAACAAAATACTTGATATAAACAAGGCTTTGCCATCTGTGAAAGGCTCTAATTAAATATATTTGAATAGAAGAGTTACCGCGGAGATACATCAAATTGATACATCTCCTGTGCACCGAATTCACGTCAGGAGAAACTTTCTATCGATCATCAATTATTGAACTTAAAAGTCAAAACTATTAGTGGTGAAATAGCTTACTAAAATCAATCAACAAGAACGCTTAGAACAATTTTATTACAAGCATATATCGTAGCAAATGCACAAGTGGCTAAAGAAACTCTTTGATCAACATTTTAATTCTTGATCAACAAGACCAAAGAGAATGAATCAACAGAAAATCATTTTCTCATATCGGGAGAGGATCTCATTTGATCAGAGTTGATACGAAGGAGTTGAGCAACAATCAAAATGAGTCAACGTGCTTTTTTTGTTTTTGTTTTTTTTTTATGATATTTCCCTTCGCCTATAGATATTTCCCAATTAAAATGAATTTTTGTAAAAACTCTCAAACACCGGATAAAATGCCTTTAATAATTTTAAGTAAAAAACATGCGCACTACGAACATTTTTCATCGCTTTCATTTTTATTGTTTAATAGTTGTCACATAATCGCAAAGTTGATTTTAGTTGTGTTTAACTAAGGCGCCGAGATCTCAGCAAAGCGAGCCAGCCAGCCCGCCTCATGTAATCAGGCCCTTAGTTCTTTTGCAAGATTTTACGCCCTCTTCCTTGACCTCACCGATTTTTCAAAGTCCCCCGAACAGACACACGAAATTTCACCCCCCCCCCCCCCCACCCTCCACTTACCCCCCTCCCCTCATAAACACAAATACCCCTCACCCACTATCTCCTACACACTCCCCCCCCCCCCCTCATCATCTTTATAACCCCGTCTCTATATTAAATGAACTTGCACTTATCCACGTTCTCCATACAAGTATTATAAAACATAACCGAAAAAAAAAATCCTGAAGAGAAAGCATAACAACGTTTAAAATAAGTACAAGTATGTTTTCGACCATTGATAACATCTTTCACAACCACTACTTCATTTCAACAGACTGTAACTACACTATCCCTTCATAGCCACATCAACACTCTCACAACTACCTCTCTACAACACCTAAAATCACTTTTACCTTCCAAAATAATATTTTTTGTTACTTCATAGCAAATTGTACCAGAAACCAGTCTCACTGAATAACTCCACGCCTTCCACTTCACACATCTCAACCAACGCCTAAAATATACAACACTACTGCACTCCTTAGACATGCCTAATACACATAAAAAACTTCACACACGCCTAGTGCACCGACGCCCGTATATAGACTCCCACAGTGTCTTGTTTTACTTGTTGTCATTCTGCTTGTTTTATACTGACATCTTCATGTTGAAGATAAAGTGAATAAAGTTATATTGTATTTTTTTTGGTATTACACGCAGTTTTTTTAGTGAAAGTGCACTTGGTTTTTTGGTTA